GGCATGAGAACACCTATACTCACACACACACCAAAATAATAAATAAAACACTAAATGCTAAGGGCAGGACCTGCATTTTATCTCTGACTCTAATTTTTAAATTAAAAAAGTTAGATTTGTTTTATGCGTGTGTTTTACCTGCATGTGTGTATGTGCCTGGTGCTTGCAGAGTTAGAAGAGAGCATCTGATACCCTAGAACTGGAGTTAGGGATGGTTGTGAGCCACTGTGTGGATGCTAGGAGCCGAGCCTCGGTCCTTTGCCAAGAGCTACAAGTGTCCTGAATCGCTGAGTCATCTTTCTAGACTCTAGTCTTTAATTTTGTTTTAGCATAGAATTGAAAAATATATTTGGATCTGGATGTGGTGTGGTGCATGCCTTTAGTCCCAGAACTTAGGAGGCAGAGGCAGGTGGATCTCTGAGTTTGATGTCAGTTTGATCTGTAGAATGAGTATCAGGATGGTCAGGCCTACACAGAGAGAACCCATTTTGAAAAACAAAACAAAACAAAACAAAAAACCTAAAACCTAAATTATAATTTTTTACAATAAAATCTAGAAAAGTACCACAAATACCTTAGAACCCCAAAATCTTGAACCTTGAACTCCTGATCCTCCTGCTCCTTCCTCCGGTCTGGTGTGTTACTGGCAGGAGTCACCAGGACTGGCTTCTGCAAACTATCTCCAGCCACCCCTTCTGAGAACACCATGTTTCCAGGTGCTGGGCACTCTGGGAAACACTCCATTTAGTGACACATAGGGCAGTGACTGCTTCCTTGGCTCTTTCCTCTAACTGCTTGTTCAGAATCCCCTCAGACTCTGACAATTCTGTATGCCTTCAGGGAGCCACTACTCAAATGGGAGCCCTACATGAATGAAAGATGCTTAGCAATGCCCGCCTCTTCTCTTCTTACTGTTACAGAAAGATTCCAGGCAGGGTCACGCGGCTCACAAAGCTCCTGACCCCATCCCTAGGAACCTAGATGGGTGTGGATCTGGGCTAGGTATTTGAGCTTTGATTGATGGAACTGCCACTCCCTCTGAAGCTTTGGAAGGATAGGATCTATCAGTCAAGCTCACAATTCAGGTCCCTCCTTAATCATCATGCAAAAATGGCAGGGCTTCTTCCTCTTCTTCTTCTTCTTCTTCTTCTTCTTCTTCTTCTTCTTCTTCTTCTTCTTCTTCTTCTTCTTCTTCCTTCTTCTTCCTCTTCCTCCTCTTCCTCCTCCTCCTCTTCTCCCTTCTCCTCCCCCTCCTTCTTATCAAGACAGATTTTTTTTTCTGTGTAGGCCTGACTGTCCCAGAACTCACTCTGTAGACCAGGCTGGCCTCAAATTCAGAGATCAGCCTGCCTCTGCCTCCCGAGTGCTGAGATTAAAGGCATGTGCCATCACCTCCACCTGGCTGGTAAGGATTCTTATATGGTGCCAGACAAACTTAGACACTTGCCTAATTTTTGCTTTCTCTTAGCCAGGATTCTTTTTTTTTCAATTTGATATGTTGGAGTTATTATTTTAAAATTGTATAAAGAGTACATGTGCATGAGTTTAAAACACAAGTGAAATGTAAGGAGTTAAAAAAAGAAATACAAAAGAAATCTGAGACATGAAACAAAAAATACATTCTGTGAATTGAAGTAAAAAGGTATCCCACTCGCTACAAAATTGTTATTTCAATATATTAAGCAGTCTTTTGATTCAGATGCAGCACAAGATCGAGTTCATTATCAGGTCAGACCGAGACTCACCGACTAGAGAAGGAGCACAGATGACCCAACGCCACAGGCAGGGATGATGTGAGTGGAGGTGGAGCCATGTCCCTGAGGTGTCACCATAAATAAATCCGTTACTCGTCAATAACCAGCGACCAGCAGGTCCGCCATTTCACTGTCAAGGAAAGCCCGTTCCCGCCAGTTTTCCTTGGATTCTTTGCAGTGAGGGTTCTTCACATTCATAGAGCAGAGCTCATAGTTCTAAAAGCGTTTCTCGATGCCTGTTTTTCCTCAGCTTCTTCTTCAGATCCTGCTTCAGACTCAGGAGGGGAGTAAAACTGACCATCAGAAAGTCCTGCAGGGATGAGAACCACCCTCCCTGATGCATCCTGAACTAGCAGGAGTCTGTTTTCTTCTTCTGCCTCTTGAGACAACACGTTGAAATCCAGGAGCCCTGTCTCAATCCAGGCGAGGATGAAGGAAACGCCCCTTGAGAGAAAAGCTTTGAGAGGATCACTTTTGCTAATAAGAAGGCACCGGTCACTGCTGTCATCAACGCTGTGGGCCACCGAAGGCGCAGTCTGCATACGGCGTATCCAAGTATCAGCACTTTAGATCGCAAAACTGCCAAAAGAAATATATCAACGAATCACTTCCCTCTTCAGTGTGTTCTCGATGCCTCCATTGGACGCTGTTATCCACAGTAATGCTGCAAATAATAGGTCAAAGGTGACGGACAGACAAAGTCCTCCTGACAACAGATACGACCTTCTTCTCTCTTCCTTCTTAGGACTCCATCCTGGCCATGAGCTGCGCAGGGTTGATGGAATGGATGTCACACAGAGAGGGCTGTGAGCTCCAGCTCCCAGTCAGAGTGTTTCCCATGTCTTCTGGCAGGCGGTTCATCCTTGAGGAGGGTTGAAGGAGTCTCCATTCAACTCCACCATCCTTAGTGAGAAGCAACCTCCTCTGTGACATGAGCTCTGCAGTCCAGGATGGCTGGGCTGGGGTGGGGCTAGCCAGGATTCTTCTACTCCAGGTAGATTTGGGCCAGGTTTCAGAAGGACCTCTAATACAATCAAGCGACTTTTAACCTAATGTTGTAAGTAAAGAATTAATGAATGCAGGCCAGGCGTGGTGGTGCATGACTTTAATCCCAGTACTTGGGAGCAGAGGCCAGCCTGGTTTACAGAGTGAGTTCCAGAACAGTCAGGGCTGCACATGGACACCTTGTCTTGAAACCCCTCAACCTTCAAAAAAAATAGTGAATATGGCTAAGTTGGAACTGGGAAGATACTTGGTTCAAAAATTAAGAGAAGATGGGTATATTGGTACATACAAGTAATCACAGTCCTTGAGAGACAGAGACAAGAGGATTGTTCAGGTTCAAGGCTAGCCTGAAGGAGATAGTGAGTTCTAGGGCATTCTGAGTCATATAGGACCCATTCCAACAAGCAAGCAGATAATCCAAGTCAAAGCTGTACCCCAAGAGCCTGGCTGACAGCAGATAATAAGTGTTGAAATTGTTGAATGAACTTGGCCCAGCGAATACATTAAGAAAAGGGATTCATGACTTGCTTGAGGGTCCACAGGTCACTGCTTGGCTTCTTCCTGCCATCCACACGACATCTTTGAACATAGGCTTAAACCTGGGACCTTTCCTTGACAATAGTAACTGTGCTTGAAGTTCACAATCGCTAGTGGAGGCCAGAAGGAATTTAGCATTGTTTATAGAAGTGGGGAGAAGGCTGTGGGGCTGTGACCTTGCTAAAAAAGGGAAACTGAGGCACAACCCTTCATCCCCTTCTGAGTCAGGGTCTCTTTCCTCTCCCTCCTGAGTGCTAGGATTTCTGGTATGCACTGCCAAGCCTGCCCTATAAACAGCACAGGTAGTCGTTGGAAAGGTGCAGAGAAAAGGCGTTCACTTAGACAGCCTTTGACCTCAAAGCTTCCAAAGAGGGCAGAACTGGGGGGTTGAGCAGCCAGAACCCCACAGATCACCTGTTCCTTTTCTGGGTTCCAACACAGGGATAAGAATTGAAAGTAGGGCTTGAAAAGTAACCTGAAGTTTTTTCTCTGTTTGGCCCCTTTACGGCGTGTCCCTCCCCTCTGGCCTGGGCATTGTCCAGCCCACTGGTGAACACACACACACACACACACACACACACACACACACACACACACACACACCCCTCTGTAACACAAACATCCCAGGAAAGGCCTTAGTTAAAACTAGCCGCCCTTTGTTCCCCTGGGTCAGGCCATCCTTGCCCGACTGTGACTCTTGGTTTGTTTGAAGAGTAAGGTCCCCTTGAGGCACCAAATGCAGACGCTGCCTTCACAGTGCCAGGCCACTTCGGGCTACAAGACTGCATAAAGCGTTCTTTGTAGGAAGGATGCATCCAGGGCAGCCGGGGTTTTGAAGGTGTCCCCAGCCCAGGGCTTGTCTTGGACCACTGAAGCCAACCAACCAGCTGGCCGTGGATAGGGCGGAAGGCCACCCTACCTCCCACTGGTTCCTAGTGACCTGACTCACCCTGGTTGGAAAGGGGCTCTCACAAACCACTCAAGCCTGAAAACTGGGGTAGCTAACTCGGCTGCCCCTCCAGCCCTGGGGGGCTTCCACAGGGTCTGGGCTGCAGGCCAGTTCCAGGCGGTCCCCAGACTTGAGTGGGGGGTGGGAGTCAGAGCTCTTCTCACCCTTTACTTCCTGCTTGGTCTCCAGCCCAGAGTTTCTAGAGGCCCGAGCCTCTGTGGGCTCTCCACCCCACTCTCCTTTAACCCTTTCCTGCCACGGAAGAACATGGGTCAGGCTTGGGTTCTGAAGGGAGGTGCAGACCACCAAGAAGTGGTGTGTGTGTGTGTGTGTGTGTGTGTGTGAGTGTGTTTGTGGAGTGGTGTGTGTGTGAATGTATATGAAGGAGTGGTGTGAGTGTGTGTGTGTGTGTGTGTGTGTAAAACCCTGATTGAGATCTCAAAACAGGGTCTCAGAGCCCAACTCTCCTTCCTCTCCCTTCCTTCCAGGAAAGGGGAATTGGAAGGAAATTAACTTTGACCCCTGGGCACAAAACTTGGGTGGAGGGCAGTTGTTTCCACGTCCTTGGCCGGGCTTCTCCCCCCTCTCCTTCCCTCCTTGCTCTCCAGCGCCCCTTTAAGCAATCCAGCAGCCCAGGCGAGTTTATCCAGGGGGCCTGGCTGCAAGGTCCAGGGGGAAGGCGGGGTGGCGGGGAGGGCGGCGGGATCCCGCCCGGTCCCACCCCTAGCTACAACCCCTAGCAGGAAGGGCTTGTCTCCTGAGCAGCGGCGGAAAGGGACGGAGCTGGGAGGGCGGGCGCGGAGCACTGGCGGGTGGGTCGCAGAGCCCGCAGCAGGGAGGCAGTGGCGGGGGGGCGCGCCGCAGGGAAAGGGAGGCGTGGCTTAGGTTGCGGGGCTTGGTGGCCGGGGGCCTCGGGTCTGGGGGTCTCGGCGTTGGGACCGGTGACACTTGTCTCACGCTTTCCAGGGGCAGGAGAGGCAGCCATGCTCTTGTCTGGGGGTAGACCCCCAGCGCAGGAATGGTTCATGGTGCAGTCAAAATCGAAGCCTCGGGTGCACCGACAGCGGTTGCAAGTCCAGCGCATCTTCAGGGTCAAGGTGAACGCCTTCCAGAGCCGTCCCGACAACCCCTACTTCTGGCTGCAGCTGGAGGGGCCCCGCGAGAATACTGGTAAAGCCAAGGTAAACAGTTTCTCTTCACTCCCCACGTAGCCCTTCTATCAACCCCTCTCCCTCTCTCCTGGGGAGTCAGTGGTCCCCAGAGGTATTCAGCTTGGGTTCTGCTGCTTGACTGGCAGGTACCGGGCCTCCCTCCCTCCAGATCTGCAGCCCCAGCTCGGTCCCTCGGCTTCATTCTTCCTCTTCAGCCCCACCCCTCTCTTGCAAGTCAGGCAGTGCTTCGGGAGTCAGGTCTGCCCTTCACCGGTTCCCCCTGTCCTTTCCAGTGTGCTGGGAGAACCTCTGGGGATCGACCCAGCGATCGAGCGGCTCTCCTTGAGCCCTCTTCGGCCAGGCCTCAGTGATCAGAACTCTGCTTTTCCATCTTGGGATCAATTTAAGGGCCTGCATTTTTGTGGCCTCTGCAACACACGTCTTTGTTCTCACCAAGGCTCTGGAAGGCCTCTGTCCTTTCTGTCTGTCTAAATCCTGGGCTGTGTCTCTGAGTACTAGGACTGGAGGAGGGCCCTAGAGACACTTCTAAAGCAGCGTGGCATTTTCTAGATGAGGCCCTGGGGCTCAGAGAGGGTGAAGGCCTGCATGCGTCCTCAGAATCAGGTGGGAGTAGGTTGGTGGAGGTTGGACTAGAACCCAGGACCCTGACCCATATTCTTGCTCCTCTCAGCAACAGGGGCTCAGGGTGGAATGCATCTGTTCTGGAAAGCACGGCCTTGGGATGCCAGGGAGTCTGGGAGGACCATAGACTTTGAGATGAAAGGGCCTGCTGTGCGTAGCTGGGTATTGAACAGGCCAGGTCCCAGCTTGTAGCTCAACTTGGCTTCTTTCACCAGTTTCTCTGCCTGGGCTCCTCCCTCTGCCTCGTCACACCCAAGGTCCCCTACTCCCTCAGATTCCCTTATCTTTTCCGGTGGGAAGGACCTAGGTTCCCTTCTCTCAGTCTTTGGCTGGAGCTTTATCCCAGTTAGAAAGGGCCGAGGTTGGGGAGGCCCAGAGCACAGCCAGCAGGAGGACAGGGAGGCTGGGAAATGTCTCCCTTAGCACTTTCAGCAAGCTGCTGCATCAGCAGTTTTCCAGTTCTGACAGAGGTGCTGGGGGAGGGGAGAGGTGTCTGTCCAGAAAACAGATGTGCAGGAGCCTGCGAGTGTCAGAGGGTTGGGTAGGGTAACAAGAGGCTTTTGGGTTCCTTATGCCCTTAATTTTTCCATTACTGTAAAGTGCCATAGCTCAGCCTTTATGGAGAACCAAGCAACTGACAAGTACTTCCTTTCCAAAGCCCCCGCCATGTGATGGGGACTGAACCCAGAGTCTGTGTGTACCACACGGAGCCACCCCTCCCCTGCTCCCTGAATAGCACTGTTTGGGATGCCCACCTCGTGTTTCTGTCTTAAACTTCAGGTCAGCTTCTTCAAGCCTGTCAGCTCCGGCCAGCACTGCTGCCTCTTTGGGCCACAGGCTTCCAACCCCAGGTTTCTCAGTCCAAGCCCTGCTAAGTCCCGTGGCTCCATCAATTTCCCCTCCCATCCCTCATTGCCCTGGAGAGAGGCCGTGTAGACAGTGGCAACTCGGCTTGCAGAGATTCCTTTTTTTTTTTTTTGCAGGGGTGGGGGTAGTGGGGGTGGGTGAGAGAGGGTTTCTCTGTGTAACCCTGTCTGTCCTGGAACTCACTCTGTAGACCAAGGTGACCTCAGACTCAGAGGTCGGTCTGCCTCTGCCTCCTAAGTGCTGGGATTAAAGGCGTGGGACACCCCACCCCACCCCCGCCCCTGCCTCAGCTTGCAGGGATTCTGGGTAACTTCCTTGTACTGGTGGTGAACAGAAGGAAGATATTGGGGGGCAGGAGGAGAATGTGGAATGTGGGGAGGATAAAGTTTTGTCCCAAGGGTTAGGAGATCTGGATTTGACACCCTGTCACCACATTACAGTCCAGACAGAGCAACTGGTTCTTTGAAGAGGTTCAGGTCTAATAATTTATCCATCTTGAGCCCTTTTCCTCATATGTGAAACAGTGTAATAATACTCTTGCCACGGAAGAGTCGTGAGGGCATCTGAAATCATGATGCTCAAATACTCTGGCAGTGTGCAGAGAACAACATGGGGCGAAGCAGGTGTTGCTGTTAGTAAATGGCTCTATAATCGATCCTGTCTGTCTCCCAGTGTTGGTATCCTGTGAAACGAGATGCTCTTGGTTACCTGCTGTCTTAGTTGGGGTTTCTGTTGCTGTGAAGAGGCACCCTTATAAAGGAAACATTTAATTGGGGCTGGCTTACAGTTCAGAGGGTTAGTTTGTTACCATCATGGCGGGGGGGGGGGGGCGGGGCGGGGGGGACATGGAGACATGCAGGCAGTGTTGTAATTTTAAAAAGCAGTGCACACACAAGAGAAAGATGAGAAAGATGCCATTCAACAGAGCTTGGGTGGAGGAGTTTCTTATTGGGGAAAAGAATGGGAAAAGGGGGAGGGGAGAGGAGAGAGAGGCCTCTAGGGACAGGAGCAGCAGAAGAGAAGAGAGAGGCAGGGGGGGGAGAGAAGAAGAGACAGAGACAGGCAGAGAGACAGACAGAGAGAGAGAGAGAGAGAGATGCTCTTAGTGGCTGAAGATGAAGGTGTATCCTGTCAGAACTCCAAGGACAGGCCAGTACAGAAGCCTGACTACTAACAGGCAGACATGGCCCTAGAGAGGTAACTGAGAGTTCTACATCTTGATCCGAAGGCAGCAGGAAAAAGACTGCCACACTAGGCCTAGCTTGAGCATATGAGACCTCAAAGCCCACCTCCACAGTGACACTTCCTCCAACAAGACCACACCTACTGCAATAGGGCTACACTTTCTAATAGTGCCACTCCCCATGGTCAAACATTCAGACACATGAGTCTATGGGGGCCATTCCTATTCAAACCACCACACCTGCTATGTGAGCCTTTCCTAATGTGAGGATGTCTTGTTTTTCACATGTAGTGTGGATGGAGTTTTGCATTTTGACAGTGGCCTTCCATACATAGGTCAACTGGTAGAGAGGACTTGTGGAAATTAGAAGTTTGGGAGAGACAGAGAGGGAACAGTGGGGTCACTTGTGCACTGAGTGGAAGAGAGGTCAAGAAAGATGCAGGCCTTGGTGGCGCACACCTTTAATCCCAGCACTGGGGAGGCAGAGGCAGGTGGAGCTCTGTGAGTTCGAGGCTAGCCTAGTCTATAGAGTGAGTATGGAAACCCTGCTTGAAAAACTAAAAAACAAAACAAAAGATTCAGGCTCACTTAAAGAAGGGCCCTGGATAGTTTTTTGGTTTTGGGTTTCTGAGACAGGGTTTCTCTGTGTAGCTTTGGAGCCTGTCCTGGAACTCACTCTGTAGACCAGGCTGGCCTTGAATCACAGAGATTCACCCGCCTCTGTGCTAGGATTAAAGGCGTGGGTTACCAAACCTGGCCTGGGTATGTTTCTATATTACTTGTGCTTGCCTTGCCAGAAAAAATTTTTTTCTGTTAAACCTGTGTTTTAAGATCTTGTGCAGTGGCAGGATTTAGAAAACATCAGAGCTGTTGCTGTGTATCACACCCAGGTAGGAAAACAAACCCTGGGAAGCTGGCTCTCCTGGGGTGGGGTCAGACAGAGGAAAGGGGAGTTAACAGTGGGTAAATGAGCCCAGGGCTAAACCTTGTACATCCTTCTGTCTGTAGTACTCGAACATGGTACTGTGAGGATGGGCTGAGTGCCAGCAGGGAGGTGACACGTTTGCTTCTCTGAGAAGATGGATAGAGGTGACAGGGAATCCAGTGACAGTGGTAGTAGAAGTGGCTTCTGGAGCCTGTGTTCTGGGGTTCCAACTTGGTTCTTAGGTGGAAACTAGCCTGTCCCTACGTGAGCAGAACCCTGGGAACTGGTTGTGGTCAGGTGTGTGCTGGATTTGGTTCACACACACCCATTATTAACATTTTAGAACTTTGTAAGCTGGTAGAGGGGTGTTTAGAGCCATAGTGGGAACATTGGCAAGCGCTCTAAATCAGGGTGTGCCCCTTCTCCACGTTTGCCTACACAGCTGTGTTGCTACTGAACACCTAATCTCTCTTTTTGTTTAAATGTAAGCTGTTTCCTTAACCAAGGAATTTACATTTAAAAGTTCTTGCCCTCTCCTTAAAAGTTCACAAAAGAAGATAGCAATACTTTTCTTGTCCTTCAGGACTCTTCTGGCATTCATGGATTTCCAAGTTTCTCACACAGCATGTAGACAGACACTCTTGTCTTGAGGCTCCAGATTATTGCTCTCCTGGGGCATCATTATGTTGTCTTCCTTCCTTCCTTCCTTCCTTCCTTCCTTCCTTCCTTCCTTCCTTCCTTCCTTCCTTCCTTCCTTCCTTCCTTCCATTATCTGAGTACTGGAATTGGCGCCTACCTTGTAAATTCTGGGGTAGAAGGTGTGCATCACCATACCCTGCTAACTGCTAACTGACTTTTTGCCTGACTATCTTTCAACTCTTTTGTTTGTTTGTTTTGAGTGTCTCATTGCTATGGTTACATTTAAGTGTCTAAGAGTTATGGGTTCTATTTTCGCACAAAATGGTGTGAAACTAAAAACTAAATGATACAGCAAACTAACTAAAACTAACCAGGTGTTGGTGGTGCTCGCCTTTAATTCCAGCACTTGGGAGGCAGAGGCAGGCCAACCTCTGTGAGATTGAGGCGAACTCGGTCTACAGAGTGAGTGCCAGGGCAGCCTCCAAAGCTACACAAAGAAACCCTGTCTCAAAAAGCCAAAATAAATAAACTAAAAACTAGAAAATTTCACACTAAAAATGGTGTCCTATTTACTGTGTGCCAAATTGTTTAATATGTTTCTGAGAAGAGTAATGGTAGTTAGCCTTTTGGAGGTAGGGAAGTCTGTCTGTCTGTGTCTCTCTGTGTTGGGAGTATTAGGTTTTCAGGTTGATCTTCTCTACGTTTGTTTTCCTCTTTCTCTTCACTCCTTGAATTCATAGCTTCCTGGTTCTGTCCTTTTTCTTAGCCTTTTTAGTATTTTTCATGTAAATTGGGGTGTCATTTGAAGGCAGATAATGAACACTGGCTTATAAGAAGAAAGGAGAGTCAGGCAATGGTGGTGCTCACTTTTAATCCTAGCATTTGAGAGGCAGAGGCAGGCAGATCTGTGAGTTGGAGGCCAGCCTGGTCTACAGAGTGGGTTCCAGGACAGCCTCCAAAGCTACCGAGAAACCCTGTCTCAAGGGAAAAGAAGGAAGGATCCTGTGAAGTCATAAGCACCTTGACACTCATAGACTGGTATGATGTTGTTTGGTGCTAATGTTTTTATTTAACTTCAAAGTGACAGAAGATCTGTGGAACGTTAGGCAATAGATTTTTACAAATAACATCACTCTATTTTGATGTTTTTCCTACTTTGCTGAATCATTTATCAATAGATTGCTGAAATTGTTTTCTGTTTAGGATTACACTGGTAGGTGGATGAAGCCAGCTGCTTTCCCTGCGAACACGAGGGCTGGTCAGCTAGGGAACTCGAGGCTTTCATTCTGGTTAGACAAAATGAGGATCTGTGGGACATTCCTCTGGATACTGGCTCAGCAACTTTATCTCCACTGCTGGGTGACAGTTACCATGGTTACGGGTACAGGTTGTGCCCAGAGCTTCTGGAAGGGGATTAAACCAGAATTCTACAGGATTACCTGGAAGTCACTGTGCTGTCAGCCAGAGGAGGTGCAGCGAGCTCTGGCTTTAGTCAGGTAGATACAGGCTGTGATCTGGTGCAGGCACAGCTGAGCTGTGTACACTTATTATTTTTATTATTATTATTTTCTCATCTTATGAGAAAATGGGAGCAGGCTGTGCCAGTCTCCATTCTAAGTAAGCCAAGCTCACTTAACTAATTGAAGCTTCCAGGAGACTGACGAGGCAGGATTGGATGGGAGGCACCGTTGGGAGGAGGGAATTGCTAACTTGGCCCAGGCTGCTCACATTCTCAGCACATGAGAATACTTAAAAGTGTGTAGCCCCTCCCCCCAGGTGCCACACAGTTCTGCAGTGCCAAGGTGGGGCCTGGGCCCAAGCATGTCTAGCTTAACTCGCCATGCTGTAGGTGAAGAGGCTGAGGCTCCGAGAAGTTGGCACATTTCCTGCAATCCTTCCTGGTCGAATAAGGCCATTAGAACTAGTGTGAGGTCTCTTGACACCAAACTTGATTCTCATTATCCTGTCACCGGTCCCTGGAAAGAGGGGGTGGAGGTGGGGGGTCAGCTGTGGGAGGGGTTAAGCTTAGCCAGGGGTTGGCCTTTGAGGTGCAGAGGACAGATAGGGTTAGCCACTCACAGGCTGGCTCCCTTTGCTTCTCCCTTCTGTCCAGGAATACCTGAAGGGTCTGTGCAGCCCAGAGCTGTGGAAGGAGGTTCGCTACCCGCCAGTCCTGCACTGCGCCTTCCTGGGGGCACAAGGCCTGTTCCTGGACTGCCTCTGCTGGAGTACTCTGGCTTACCTGGTGCCTGGTCCCCCAGGCTCCTTGATGGTGGGCGGGCTGACTGAGTCTTTCACCATGATACAGAACTGGCTGGAGGAGTTGGTGGCACGTCTGCGCTGGGGCCCTGCCCCTATGGTCACCCCCCGGGGGGTTTGGGAGACAGAGGTGACCCGGGCTTTTGGGGCCCTGGTGTGGATCCGCGGTGACCAGTATGCAGGAGACCTGCTGCAGCTTCCACCAGCGGTGCAGGAGCTGCTCCTCAGCCTCGTGCGGGATGCTGCTGGCAAAGAAGACATCGTCGATTGGCTCAGCCACTTTGGCATCTCTGGTACCTGCTCCAACCCAGAGGTCCTGATCTACCCCACCCCGCAGCAGAAGGAAGGCTCATCCCTGGTGACCATAGGAGAGAGCCCTGGACCCTTCTTAGAGATAGGAACCTGGAATCAGGCTTCAGAAAATTCAAAGAGATCAACAGGTTTGGGAGCAGCTGGATCCCTGATGCCAGTCCAGAGCACTCAGCAGGAGACAGCATGCCAGCTAGTACAGTAAGTACTGGAGAATGGGTCTTCTCCACCCCTGTCCAGGCTCATGATCCCAAGGAAATAGTCATTTGGGACCAAAGTGCCTTTCTCACCTTTTCAACAAACTTGGGCCTTTTCCAGGATCTGTTCCAACAAGCAAGGTGATACGGACAGTGCTCGGGAGGAAGGAGCCATTGTGCAAACCCTCAGCAGCCAGGACTCTGCAAACCACACACAAGCGCTCTTGCAGCAAAGGCAGGCACAGAGGATGGAAGACAGAGTGTCACTGCAGTCGCCAGTGTCAGCTCTGAGTGCATGGGCCCCGGGGCCAGCCTTTGGGCCCCTGTGGCCAGGCACTATTGCTGCAACGTTCTGGAAGATCAACAAACTACATTCTCTTCACCTGGCCTGGCTCCTATCCCAGGCTTGCCTCAATTTCCCCTTCTGGCAGAGGCCCGTGGGCCCCATTCAGCTGAAGCTGCCAGGACAGACTCGTTTGCCCTTAAACCTGGGGTGGAAGCCGAAAGCACTGGCTCCTCTGCCCAGTACAGAAAACCAGGCTTGTAGACCAGACGGGGAGCCAGGAAGGGAGACATCCCTAGAGCACAGCCCGAAGCCAGAGACGCCCACAGGCGGCACCCGTTTATCGGTGGTGCCAGGGGACTGTGCTATCGAAGAGATGGTTAGCTCAGGGCCCCCACAAGTAGCGCCGTCTTTGACATCTATACCCCAGGTTGGAGTCGAGCAGAAAGATGAAAGAAGTGCATTGTCAGATGGTAAAGGCCTGGAAAAGTTGTCCCCTTCAGTACTGCCCACAGAGCAAAGGGGACCCACAGCTCACCAGAGGCCAGTGGCTCAAGCGGAGATGACAGATCAGTCTGTACCCAAGGCTCCAACAATGTCTGAAACTCTTGAAATGCCCACAGCCACAACAGTGTCCAAAGTTGAACACCTACCCACCGAGGAAGGTCTGCCCACAGCTCCCAAAGTGCCTCCAGCCCTAGAGAGGTCTGCAGTGTGCACAGAACCCGCAGCTCCCAAAGTGCCTCCAACTTCATCAAAGCCAGCAGCTCCTGTGGTACCCACAGCCCCCCAAAGAGCCTTGGGTCAGCAAGCAGCTCCCGTGGTACCCACAGCCCCTCAACAAGCAACTCCGGTGGTACCCACAGCCCCCCAAAGAGCCTTGGGTCAGCAAGCAGCTCCCGTGGTACCCACAGCTCCCAAAACTCCAGCGCAGAAAATGCCTTCAGTAAAAACACCTGCGAGCCCAACCCCCAAAGTTCAAACTGGGAATGCCACTAAAGCGGGGCCTGCAACTCCCAAAACACCTTCGACCACCAAAGCACCTGCAACTTCTAAAGCCTCCAGAGCATCTAAGACATCTGTGGCCCAGGTGCCCGTGGTTGCAGGGCAAACCTTGGATGTAGCCAAACCCCTGAGTGAGGTCCAGGCTTCAAAGAGTAGAGCTGTCGGGCCAAAGGGCCAGGGGAAGGCGGGAAGGCAGGGTCTCCAGGCCAGTAGCACCCTGGCCTCCAGAAATTCGCATCCGTTCCTGAGGGAAGGACTTCTTGGGGCCTGGGAGGGGGCCCAGAGGCAGTCATCTCGCCACCCACAGGCCATTAACACAGTGACCAGCTTCCAGAGGTACCACGAGGCCTTGAACACACCCTTCGAGTTGAACTTGTCTGGGGAGCCTGGGAATCCAGGGCTTCGGAGAGTGGTCATCGACGGCAGCAGTGTGGCCATGGTGTGAGTAGCCGTGGGCTGGGCATGCTGGGGAGCTGGGCAGTTATTCCTTCCTGACCTAATGTGGGTATCGAGATGAGGGGCGTGGCCTGTAACGAATGGCTACTGCGTGGCAAGCAGTGCCCACGGCGGGGCTGCAGGCCTTGTGTGGTCGCACGTCCACATGCAATCCTAGCGCTCAGGAGGCAGAGGCAGAAGGGTTTCTTTGAGTTCAAGAGCAGCCTTGTCTACATAGTAAACCCCACCCAGGACAGCTAGGACTTCATAGGAGACCTTGTCTCAGAGGGGGAGGGGTACGGAGAGGGCATTGCTGGCATCTTCAGTACCCTTGGGACATTGCGGGCTTGGGCCCCAGGGCGAGGAATGAGTGGTACCGCGGGGCCTTCTGGGAGCAGTCCCTCACTCCCGCCGTCCCACAGGCACGGCCTCCAGCACTTCTTCTCGTGCCGGGGCATCGCCATGGCAGTGCAGTATTTCTGGAATCGAGGACACCGAGAGGTCACGGTGTTCGTACCCACCTGGCAGCTGAAGAAGCACCGGAGGGTGAGAGGTGAGATGCTCAGGGCCGCCCAGTCCCTCCGCCATCTCCAGGACGTCCCCTGACTTACTGCCCCGCTCCCACCCCCGACCGTGGCCTCTCCCACGCAGCCCTCCCTCTATCTCCCTGTTCTGTCTCCCTCAGAGAGCCACTTTCTGACGCAGCTTCACTCACTCAGGATGCTGTCAATCACTCCATCCCAGCTGGAAAATGGCAAGAAGATCACCACCTATGATTACAGGTGTGCCATTCCCCAGGTCCCTCCGCGGGCTCGGGGTGGTCTCGGATGGTGTCCCAGCTCACCTCGGGGGAAATGGAGACAAAGGCCGGGTCTGAGAGGAGGTGTTGGGGCACAAATGAGATGGCTGAAGGCTGGCCCCTCCCAAACACAAGGTCACCGAGGTCTTTGGAACTCTGGTGCTGTACTTCCCCAGTTAACTGGCCTCCTCCATGGCCTGTGGGCCCAGGCTCGCTGCATTGGATAGAAGGTGCCGCTTGGCTTTTGGTGCCAGCTTGTGTTAAAGTTCGTGTTTCAAGGAATGCCCTCAGTCTTTCTTCCCCAAGCTCGTACGCTGGGAGGAAGTGTAGACCGGGGACAAGGGTCTAGAAATGGAGTTAGCTGGACCTGGTTTGCCTAAACATTGACATCCTCTCAGCGTTCACCGTCTAGCATGGTCGTAGAACTAGTGTGCCTAGGGGACTCTGTGACCCGGCCTGTACTAGGGTAGGGAAGGAAGGCCCTGTCATTGTTCTAGGCTAGGCCAGATGCTCGGCCGACGGTTCTTGGTTTCGCTTGGGCACCTTGCATGCTGGGAGAATAGAGGTTATGTGTCTTTCCTGTGTTCCCTGCAATCCGCTCAGCCTTTAAGGCTGTGAAGAGCTGGGAAGGGCCACTCCAGTATCCCAAGCTTCCAGAGCTGACTCTTAGATCAGTTTTTTTTTGGGGGGGGGTGGTTCGAGACAGGGTTTCTCTGTATTGTTTTGGACCCTGTCCTGGAACTCGCTTGGTAGACCAGGCTGGTCTCGAACTCACAGAGATCCTCCTGCCTCTACCTCCTGAGTGCTGGGATTAAAGGCGTGCACCATCTGGTTTAGATCAGTTTTTTAAATCCTCTAAATCCAGCCAGGCAAGGAAGGGCTCAAGGGACAATGACTTTTCTGTAGAAGGGCCCTCTGCTGGGCACTTGGAGAACAGCATGTGAAAAATCCCAGGGAACACAGACAAGTAGGTAGGTGACTTTTTCCTGGGCACAGCCCTCCTCAGAAAGAAAGTGATCTTCAGGAAGATGGATTTGTCTATTAAGCCACATGATTTTATGTGTTGGTACATATGTGGTATGTATGTGTTGGTACATATGTGGTATGTATGAGTTGGTATCTATGGCATGAATGTGAGTATTGTGCCTTGATGAAGAATATTGTGTGCTGTGTGCTAGGCACGTAAGCATCACCTTGGTGTAATTATTATAGCAGTACTGGGGGGTATTTTATTTACATTTTACAGGCACAAAAATGGGAGCAGAAAAATACCCATGTGTGAACCAGAGGATGGGGTCTCTGTCAATGAGCCTGTGTATATGACAGGGGCGTGAGCTTGTATATACACTTGGGGGGTCTATGTAACCAAGTGCACATTCTGGGGGGATGTTGGGATCCCAGATTGCCACATGGAAGAGAGGATATGCTCTGGAACCTTGCCTTGATTACAGAGGGCAGAGTTTTTGTCTGACACACTCGGGAGCTCTAGTTCATTTTCCAGAGGGTCCAGAAAGTGAGAGGGTAGTTACTATGTGGTTAGTAATTTCCTTTTCCCTGCAGGTTCATGGTGAAGCTGGCAGAGGAGACAGATGGAATCATTGTCACTAATGAGCAGATTCACATCCTAATGAATAATTCCAAGAAACTGATGGTCAGAGATCGGTGAGACATTCCTTGGGACTTGAGCTCTTATTTCCCAGTGATGTTCAGCAGCCCATGGCAGAAAAAGATGTTGGGGTGAGACGAGGGGCCCAGAGTAGGCTCTCCAGTACTTGCTGGTAAATGGGGCTCTCAGCCCCTGCAGAGGCAACAGAGTGAGGCTGAGTCTTGGGTTCACTGAGGGTCTTCCCCATTTCTCTTGTGAGTCTTGGGTTCACTGAGGGTCTTCCCCATTTCTCTTGTGAGTCTTGGGTTCACTGAGGGTCTTCCCCATTTCTCTTGTGAGTCTTGGGTTCACTGAGGGTCTTCCCCATTTCTCTTGTGAGTCTTGGGTTCACTGAGGGTCTTCCCCATTTCTCTTGTGAGTCTTGGGTTCACTGAGGGTCTTCCCCATTTCTCTTGTGAGTCTTGGGTTCACTGAGGGTCTTCCCCATTTCTCTTGTGGATCTAGCCTGCTGCCCTTCACCTTCGCTGGGAATCTCTTCATGGTACCAGATGACCCCCTGGGCCGTGATGGCCCCACCTTGGATGAATTTCTGAAGAAGCCAAACAGGTAATTTGTCAGGCCGTCTCTATCTTCCAGACATTCCTGAACTGACCAGAAACACCTTGGGACAGGGTTTCTCTGTGGCTTTGGAGCCTGTCCTGGAACTCACTCTGTAGACCAGGCTGGCCTTGAACTCACTGAGATCCCCCTGCCTCTACCTCCCGAGTGCTGGGACTAAAGGTGTGTGCCACCAACGCCCGGCACTTTTTGATGCTTCTATCTGCTCTTTTCATTATGCTTTTAACATCTCACACACACTTTTTCATGTATCTTTCTACAACTGGCCTTTGTGCTTAATCTTTTCTTGCTGTCTTCACTCCTATGCCGTGCAAATTCATGTAGTACACTTTAGTGCCCGTGTAGCATTCCATTCCATGCAGAAGAATCTATTCTCTGCCTGGGACCATTTGACTATTTTTGCTTTATGCTGCTGGTGTTATGTGACAGCAAGCAGTCTTGTTGGTTTTTTCATTGTGTCCAAGAGAGCTCTGCGTACATATTGCTGTCATGTTAATTGTCTCCTTTGATTCTTTGCTATTTGAGTTAAATGTAAATGGACAAGGAATCTGAAGCTCAAATGATAAGGTCATTTTGGCAGAACTAGTTTGTAGCAACTCTGAGTCTCTGGCCTCTATGTGCTTTGAGTCACATTTGCTGCCCTGCCCCAGTGTTCTGGGACCTTCCGGGGAACTTGGTTGGGACTTGTGGACAGGGTGGTGCCTCCTAGGCCACGTCTCTCCACGCACACCCCTGCACGCCAACACCTGTTTCATCAGCTTGTGGAAATGAACTTGAGGTTTCTCTACTGTGTGCTAGGCCTCCCCTCAGACTTGGGCTTCCCCTGGAATGTTCATCCTGGGGTAAGAGTGGAGGCTGCCAGTCATCTCTTATCAAGTCACTGACTCAAAACTAAGTGTTTCGTGGTCTTAGTCTGCTTCGTTTTGTTCCCCTTGTTGCGATAAAATACCCTGACAAAAGCAACTTATGGAGAAAGGGCTGTTTCCACTCACAGTTCTAGGTGGGGAGTCAAAGTGGCAGGAGCTTGAGAAGAACTGGTCACATGTCTGCAGTCAGAGGAGAGCAATGTATGTGTGCTTAGCTCACTCTTTCATTTTGCAGTCTAGGATCCCTGCCTAGGGAATGACGTCACCCACGGTGGGAGGGTCTTCTCACCTCAATGTAATCAAGATAATCCCTCACAGACATGTCTATAGGCTACCCAATCTACACAGCCCTTCACTGAGACTGCCTTCTCAGTTGATTATAGGTTGTGTCAAGCTGACAGTCAGTAAGGTTTTGATTTGATAAAATTTCAAAGCACAGAAGAATCCTTGTTGAAGTTGTAGCATGAGCAAGCTGGAGAGCAAGTGTTTATGGGCCGGCTCCTGACTGACCCATGCATGAAGACTCTTAGGAATAAGACGGGGTTCTGTGGGGTCACCACACATGTGGCTTTCCCCTTGGATAATCTGTGGGGTGGGGATGCCCCCTCTCCTTCTTCTGCTTGTTTTGGTAATAGGTTGGACATGGACATTGGCAATTTCTTGAAGGTCTGGAAGACGCTTCCTCTCAGTTCAGCCAGTGTCTCTGAGTTGAGTGATGATGCTGGTCCCGAGCCTTTGGTGGGTCCTCAGAGTGTGGAAGAGGTCGGGGAGGAGAGGGAGAAAAGCCCAGAAGAGGAGCTGGTGGAGGGGCCAGGAACACCAAAGCCCGATGAGCAAGATGACCACTACTCTTCCCTCGTGGCAGTGTTTGGAGCCGAATGTCCTTCCCTTTCTGAGGAAATCCTCTGGTGTCTCAGCCTGCATGACCCCTCTGAGGGGGCTTTAGACATTGACCTCCTGCCAGCGGTGTCCTCTCCCTGCCTCCCTCCCTGGGATGGAAAGGCTCCCTGTCAACAGGTTCTTGCCCAGCTCACTCAGCTCACCATCCCTAGCAACTTCACCGCGCTGTCTTTTTTTATGGGCTTTATGGATTCCCACCGGGATGTTATTCCGGACTATGAAGTCCTCATGGGCCCCCTGCACGGCCTCCTCAAGCAGAAGCCGGACTGGCAGTGGAACCAGGAGCACGAGAAGGCCTTCTTGGCCCTGAAACGAGCCCTCGTGTCCGCCCTCTGCCTGTCAGCCCCCAACTCCCACCTGCCCTTTTACCTGGAAGTGACCGTCAGCCGAGTGTCACTGACGGCCATCCTGCAGCAGGAACACTCAGGAAGGAAGCACCCCATCGCCTATACCTCGAAGCCTCTCCTCCCTGATGAGGACAGCGAGGGCCCTCAGTCAGGCGGGGACAGCCCCTATGCTGTGTCTTGGGCCCTCAGACATTTTTCCCGATACATTGGAGACAACCCCGTGGTTCTACGACTCTCCTATGCCTCCCGGACAGCTGTGGACAGCGAGACGAGGGAAAGCCATAGGGCTTCCAAAGAGTGGCTGATACGATGGTCTCTCTTGGTGCAGGACAAAGGCAAGAGGGAGTTGGAGTTCAGCCTTCTCCAGGGCCTCCTGGGGGAGAACCAGCTGCTGACGGCTGCTTCCTCCATGCCTCGGGTTTTCCAGCTTCTCCCTCCTTCTACCGACCTGTCTGCTTTTATCTGCATCCACGTTTCTGGCTATTGCTTCTACCGTGATGATGAGCTGTGTGCTGGCTTTGGCCTCTACATCCTGTCTCCCACCAGCCCCCCAGTCTCCCTCGCCTTTTCCTGCCCCCCTCACACGCCCACCTGCGCCCACCTGGCAGCCGTGGCCTGTGGCCTAGAGCGCTTTGGCCAGTCCCGTCTCCCAGTGGTTTTCCTCACCCACTGCAACTGGATCTTCAGCGTCCTCTGGGAGCTCCTGCCACTCTGGAAGGCCCGGGGCTTCCTCTCATCTGACGGGGCCCCCCTACCTCATCCAAGCTTGCTCTCCTATATTATGTCTCTCACGTCTGGCTTCTCATCCCTTCCCTTTATCTACCGAACCTCTTATCGGGGCTCTCTATTTGCTGTGACAGTGGATAATCTGGCCAAGCAGGGTGCCCAAGGAGGCGGGCAGTGGTGGGACTTGCCGAAGGATGTGCCAGTGCCAGTGGTGACTCCCCATGCTAAAGGCAGGAAGCCCGACTTGCGGGCCTTACAGCGCAGTGACAGCACGTTGGCGGATATCATTGCCAAGCTGCAGGCTGGGCAGAAGTTGTCCGGACCCTCCCCTTTCAGTTCTGCTTTTAATTCACTCAGCCTCGACAAAGACAGTGGCCTGCTTATGTTCAAGGGGGAAAAACATCCCAGGGTCTGGGTAGTCCCAAGGCAACTTCGGAGGGATCTGATTTTTTCTGTGCATGACACGCCCTTGGGGGGGCACCAGGGGCCAGAGGAGACCTATAAGAAGCTGCGGTTGCTGGGATGGTGGCCCGGCATGCAGGAGCATGTGAAAGATTACTGCAGGAGCTGTTTGTTTTGCATTCCCAAAAATCTCACAGGGGGTGAGTTGAAAGTTATTGAGTCCCCATGGCCTCTCAGGTCAACCGCTCCCTGGTCAAGCCTGCAGATCGAGGTGGTGGGTCCAGTCACTGCCAGCGAGGAGGGTCATAAGTACGTGCTCCTGGTGGCAGATGCCAACACCCGGTGGGTGGAGGCATTCCCTCTGAAACCCTATACGCACATGGCTGTGGCCCACGTGTTACTGCAGCATGTGTTTGCAAGATGGGGTGTTCCCATAAGGCTGGAGGCGGCCCAAGGTCCCCAGTTTGCCCGGCATGTCCTGGTGAGCTGTGGGCTGGCCCTAGGAGCCCAGGTGACCACGCTGAGTAGGGCCCTCCAGTTCCCTTGTTTGATGAGTTCAGAGGCCTACTGGGAATTCAAGAGGGCCCTGAAGGAGTTCATTTTCCTGCATGGCAAGAAGTGGGCAGCCTCCCTTCCCTTGCTGCACCTGGCTTTTAGGGCCTCCACCACGCAGGCCACCCCGTACCAGGTCCTGACTGGGGGGGAGATGAGGCTGATGGAGCCCTTGTGGTGGGAGGTAAGCAGTGCGAACATTGAGGGGCTCAAGATGGATGCTTTCTCGTCGCGGCTGACATGGGAGCTGTTGGACCTCCACTGGAGGGTGGCAGAGAAGGCAGGCGAAAAGGCTGACAATAGGCGCTTGAAGAGGGAGGTCCAGGAGAAGGACTGGAAGGTGGGTGACCAGGTCCTCTTGCTGTCTCTCCCCAGGAACGGCAGCAGTGCCAAATGGATGGGCCCCTTCTATATCGGGGACCGGTTGAGCCCGTCACTCTACAGGGTGTGGGGTTTCCCGATCCCAGAGAAGCTGGGGCTTGTCTATCCTAGCAGTCTAATGAAGGCCTTTGCCAATGGTAGCACCCCTCTGTCCCTCAGCGTGCCTCTCAGTGAGTTGGAGCTGTGACTTAGAGCAGCCGGAGAGCTCCCCACTCCAGGAGTCCTGGGTTTCTGCTGCTAGGCATCCCTCTGCTCTAAGAAATGCTCTTAGCTCTTTGGGGCCCTCAGTTGTGCCTTTTGTGGAGAAGTTGCTTCATAAAGCTTTGCTGAATGGCCTTGACCTAGGGATGAATGTCCCTGTGGAAGCATGCCCAGCTTAGGGTGTTTGGAGACCTTGCCAAAGGTTGGCATATGTGGGCTCTGGTGATTTTACACTTGGGAGCAGAAAGTCTCCTCACTAAAGTAGGCCAGGCCCACAGTCTTCCCCAAGTGCCATTTTGTTGCTTCACACGCATGCAAGGGTATATTGGTATGTGCATCCCCCGCAATACCTTAAGCCTGGTATATTTAATAGTGCTTATCTGAACCTCACAGTGGGTACTAGCCCTCACTGTCACGGGAGTGCCTCCCCTTACACTGTGGGCTTGGCAAGCCTTTGCCCTTGGAGTTTTCAGTGGCACAGATACATGCTGGTAGCGGAGTGGGGGTGGGGGTGGGGCACAGCAGTTCTCCTGTCGACTTCCTTGGCCTTCTCATCTGTCAGGAAAGGGCTTTAGCCTTCATGTCCCTCCAGGACCATGGCTCTGGGTGGAGATGATCAGCCATAAGCCACCTAGCTGTCTGTGTAAGGGAAGGTGCTGGAGGAAGGGGTCGAGTTGGCCTACCTCATTTGATTCCAGTTATGGAGATGATTCCTGACCCCTGCTGTGATGGTGACCACCTCACAGGAATCATGGACCTTGGTGCCCAGTGTGGCATTTCTACTGCAAGAGCTGCTTCTATTAGGACCAGTGGGGCCCACGCTCTGCTTTAAGGGGAGAGCGTCTGACTTGGGTAGTTTGACACGTGGCCAGGTGCTGGGTAGCTTTACCTCTTACCCTTCTCATTCCTGCCCAAAGCCCACAGCACTCTCCTGCCTGCACTATCTCCTTAGACGCCTTCCTGCCTGCACTATCTCCTTAGACGCCGAGGGACCTCTGTGCCCTGAGCAGCTGCATGCTGTTGGCCTGCTTCTGTGTAGAGCTCCCTGGGAACCAGCCGTGCCTGCGGAGAGCCCTCCTGCAGCGGGAGTGGGCCTCCTGCCCCTCTGCCTGTCCACGTTGAGGTGCTGTCAGTCAGCCTGCAGAGGAAGGCCAGCGCTGTGCAAGTCTGCCTCAGATCCCTAGTAGCTCATTTCCTCAGAAGCCAGTGCAGCTTTCTGACCCAGCACAGACCTGACATCGTGGAGTGCCCAGGCCAGAGGAGTTGCCATTGAGTCCAGCTTGCTTCAGAACAGAGGAAAGAGGGCCAGAGGGGGAAAACGACTTGTCCAAAGCCACACAGCTGCTTGGTGTCTGAGCTGGAGTCCGGACGGACCCTCCTGACTTCAGGTTCATCACGACAGGGGCTCTGGCAACAGGGCCAAGCAGGAGAACCCTTTCAGATTGTGTTCCTCTGTTCCCTTTGATGCTGTTTCCCAACTTTTCTAGAAAAACTACCTGGATGCTGTTCCTCAGACAATCCAGTTGTCAGCCCTGCCCTGCCCAGGAATGAATGCTGGGCCGCTGAAAGTTAGCTGTAGAGTTTTAGCAGGGTTTAGAGTGAGCACTGCGTTTCCTCACTCCCCCTACTCTTCATACGGTGTGCCAGCCTCGCTCTCCCACCCCAGGGCTGTGTTCAGACCCCTCTTCCTGTTAAGTACGATTTTGATCATATGCTCTCCAAGTGATTTTCATTCTGTTTTTCAATAAATCAATTAAAACGGAGCCTTTTTTTGTTTTGTCTTCCAGAATTGGGGGGTGAGGAGGGAGGAGCATCTGTGGAAGTCTGGTTCATTGCTCTGCTTCTTGTTCCTGGAACCCTTTTCTTGCCCCCTCAAGCTCTGTCATCACTCTTGGCTAAGCTTCCTGACTTTGGGCCTGGGCTTTCTGCTGCCCTTTTTCATGTGCCGAAACTTCTGCTCGGTGCAAGCATTTTTCCTTTACTCCCCAAGCCCCAGTCTACTGGTTAATACCTCTTCATTTTGGGGCTGCAGAGATGGCTGTGGTTAGATCGTTTGCTGCTTTTGCAGAGAGGTGCCGAGATTTGGTTCTCAGCACTTACAGAGCAGTTCGTAGCTGTCTCACTCCAGGTCCAGGGGATCCAGCACTCTCTTCTGACTCAAGGCATGCACATAGGGCACATGCAGACATGCAGGCAAAATGCTCAGACACATAAAATAAAATTTAAAAATCTAAAAAAAAAGTTTCTCCAGTTCAGTTTGATCCAGATTACAATGCTTCAGAAACTAAAACATGTTCTGTGGGCTAGAGATGGCTCAGTGGTTAAGAGCATTAACAGCTCTTTCAGAGGACCACGGTTCAATTCCCAGCACCTACATGGCAGCTCACAACTGCCCATAACTTCAAGTCTAAGGGAATCTGGCACCTTCTTCTGGCCTCTGTGGGCACTGAACACACATGGCACCCAGAGATGGCACACAGACACTCATGCAGCCCACACACCCATGTGCATAAAATAAAAATAGATAAATATTTTAACAAATGTCCGGATTTTTTTTCTGTTGAGTCCAAGAACACTTCTCTTGAGCCTACCAAGTTTTAACTTTTTTTGTTTGTTTGTTTTTTGAGACAAGGTTTCTCTGTGGCTTTGGAGGCTGTCCTGAAACTCACTATGTAGACCAGGCTGGCCTTGAACTCACAGAGATCCGCCTGCCTCTGCCTCCCGAGTGCTGGGATTAAAGGCGTGCGCCACCAACGCCCGGCTTGACTGAAATCTTATGCTTTATTTTCTGAGGCGCGCCAGCTGAATGGTGCGGTTTATTTTCTGAGGCGCGCCAGCTGAATGGTGCGGTTTATTTTCTGAGGCGCGCCAGCTGAATGGTGCGGTTTATTTTCTGAGGCGCGTCAGCTGAATGGTGCGGTTTATTTTCTGAGGCGCGCCAGCTGAATGGTGCGGTTTATTTTCTGAGGCGCGTCAGCTGAATGGTGCGGTTTCTTATGTCCTCATGATCTTGCTGAGCAATGAAGCCGCGGAACCTGCAGTGTCTAGACTGTGACACATCTCACACAGCATGCTAAGGATTATGCATTCGGCCCCAGCACCCACTAGGTGTCAGAGGGCTTTGTGCAGTGAGTGATGGAGCACTGAGGTGATCTCCAAGTAGAGAGAGCAATGGGCGTCGAGGAGAACTGGAGGTGGCTGCGGGCAGATTATGGGCTCTTCTAGAAATCTAGCTAGCAGATTGCTAGTTGCTGGCCAGGGAGAGGGAGATGGAAAGCAATGAAGAGAATTAGCGACTGTGGTGGGTGACAAGGACATCCTGGGGGAGAAAAGCTGGTTTCTCGTTTGGGCAATAGGAAGGTTCAAATTACAAAGTGAACAGGGAGGGAGGGAGACTTGGTGAGTAAAGCTTGTAATTCATGTTTCGGCAGATCGAGCAGAGGTAGGATGTGAGAGTCTGCTCAGAAGGGAGTTAGTGTTCAGACAGTGTAAAAAGGGGAGACTGTCACCATGTGGATGGACACGTGTGCCACTGAAATTCAGGACAGAGCCTGGAGAGAAACCAACCTTAAGAGAGGGTGAGCGGGACCTATAGCGCATGCACTCAAAAGGCTGAAGCAGGAGGATTGCTGAGTGTGACACCAGCCTGGTAAGGCTGCCTCAGAACAATTAGCACAGGGACAGACAAAAGTGGCATCCGTGTCTAAAAAGAAAGATATACGGACAGCCCAGTGTACTCCATCAACACCTGTTAGGAAGACAGTGGCAACAGGATCCCACCTTAGGGACAGCCTGAGTAGCAGGCAGGACTAGATGTCTGGGAGCAGTGACACTGGAGGGTGGGGGACTGCCAGGGCACTGTGGGTGGAGCCGCAGAGGCAGACTTCACCAGTGATGAGCAGGCCAGCAACTGGTCACACATGTTTACATTAGGAGAGTAAGTCCGAAGAGGAGGCAAGTTGATGCTAAGCGAAGGGGTTTGGAGGCTGAGGACAGCCACAGCTCTCCCTACCTATCCGTCTCTTTTAAATCTAAGAGCTGCACGCTCTAATCTGACTGCCGAAGGGAAGGAGTAGAGAAGAGCAAAAGGCCAGGGGTGTGTTTAGAGGAAACAGGGTCCAGGCTGGTGGATGGAGACAGCCACCTCGCCAGGAGGTGAAGTCAGCCTCAGCGAACAGCACAGGAAGGGGCAGAAGCAGAAGTGGGCGTGGTGGAGGGAGGGGCTCCAGGCCCAGTCTGCACTCAGGAGAGCCAAACTGGGAGCTCTCTGGGGCTGTCGGGAGTGGGGCGGGGGTGGGGCAGGGGTGGGGCGGGGGTGGGGCGAGGCAAGCTTTCCATGGTGAACCCGAATGCTGCAGTCGAGCCGAGGGTGAGCCTGTGGAGGGTGAGGTGGAAGCAGCTCCAGAGAGCTGCTGGACGGCTGAGGACCGAGGCTTTAGAGCCACGACAGGCCGAGGCTTTAGAGCCACAGTGGCTTCTTCATTGGCCCACTTTCTCTGTGGAATTAGCTGCCAGGAAGAGGGCAGCGTGAAAGTTGACATTGGATTCTAATTTTAGGACCCCCAAATCTAAGGTGCTTTGGTCCCTACAAAGCAACACCTATTGCCATAGGGGCTTTACTTACTTTTAATCTGTGTACTTCATAAACCCACATAAGCAAAAGTTGAATACAAAAACACAGCCAACAAATCAGATTTCATACATTTTACAAGTCATATCACTTACACATTGATTACAAATTCAATTAAATCCTGAATGTTTTAGTGGAATCACAAGTTCCTTTAAGAGCTTTCTAGGTAGCCCAGGCTAGCCTTCAACTCCAGGTCTTCCTGCTTTTTCTCAACTGCCAAGTTTACACTATGCTGGATTGCCCAGGGCTTGTTTTATTTATTTATTTATTTGTTTATTTATTTATTCTTATTTTTTGTGCATTGGTGTTTTGTCTGCATGTATGTCTGTGTGAGGGTGTCATATCTTGGAGTTACAGACAGCTGTGAGCTGCCATGTGGGTGCTGGGAATTGAACCCAGGTCCTCTGGAAAAGCAGTCAGTGCTCTTAACTACTGAGCCATCTCTCCAGCCCCACGATTGTCCAGTTTTAAACCTCCACTCTGACCATCATAAATTAGTTTATAGATTATGAAATGGATACTATCTCACTCAGACCAAGTTTTGAATTTAGTCTTCAACTTAAAAAAAAGAGGGACACACAGTCATGTGGCCTACAGATAAGTCATCTATCTCCCGGTCAAAAGAAAAGAGGGCATGCCAAGGAGTTCAGGATGGACAATTACGGACAATTAGCGGATTTTTGTTTGGGTAGGAATTGATTTACTTTCTAAGGTGATTAAAACCTCTCTCTCTCTCTCTCTCTCTCTCTCTCTCTCTCTCTCTCTGTGTGTGTGTGTGTGTGTGTGTGTGTGTGTGTCTGTGTGTGTGGGGGGGCTCAGTGGTTAAGAGCCCTGGTTCTCTTGCAGAGGGTCCATCTCTCTCTCTCTGTGTGTGTGTGTGTGCGTGTGTGTCTGTGTGTGTGTGTGGGCTCAGTGGTTAAGAGCCCTGGTTCTCTTGCAGAGGGTCCATCTCTCTGTGTGCGTGTGTGTGTGTGTGTGTGTGTGTGTGTGTGTGTGTCTGTGTGTGTGTGTGGGCTCAGTGGTTAAGAGCCCTGGTTCTCTTGCAGAGGGTCCATCTCTGTGTGTGTGTGTGTGTGTGTGCGTGTGTGTCTGTGTGTGTGGGGGGGCTCAGTGGTTAAGAGCCCTGGTTCTCTTGCAGAGGGTCCATCTCTCTCTCTCTCTCTCTCTGTGTGTGTGTGTGTCTGTGTGTGTGGGTGCTCAGTGGTTAAGAGCCCTGGTTCTCTTGCAGAGGGTCCATCTCTCTCTGTGTGTGTGTGTGCGTGTGTGTCTGTGTGTGTGGGTGCTCAGTGGTTAAGAGCCCTGGTTCTCTTGCAGAGGGTCCATCTCTCTGTGTGCGTGTGTGTGTGTGTGTGTGTGTGTGTGTGCGTGTGTGTCTGTGTGTGTGTGGGCTCAGTGGTTAAGAGCCCTGGCTCTCTTGCAGAGGGTCCATCTCTCTCTCTCTGTGTGTGTGTGTGTGTGTGTGTGTGTGTGTCTGTGTGTGTGGGTGCTCAGTGGTTAAGAGCCCTGGTTCTCTTGCAAAGGGTCTAGCCCACCTTACACCTGCTGGCTCACTGCTGACTGCAGCTCCAGTCTTAAGAGATCTGACGCGCACTTCTAGTCTCTGAGGGAGCTGCTTGCATGTGGTAAAAAGACAAAATACCCATACAAATAAAATAAAAATAAACTGAAACAAAACAAAATCCTATGCTGGTGTTGATCTTCTTTCTCTTGGGTATCTCAGACTCACATCTTTCCAAGCAATGGGTGAATTGTGCCAAGTGTTTTTCTCAACATCCACAGTCTGTAGATGGAGTCTACACCCTAGTCCTGAGACATCTCAATGTGCTGTTGCATGGGATGTGGACTTTGCATACACACTGCAGGTGGGGCCTTAAAGTAGAAAGATTGTTTGGTATATTCTGGCTGGGTCTAGTGTAAGCACTGAATCCTCATAAAGATCGTTTCCCAGCCTGTCATGGTGTGGCCAAGGGTGGCGACTAAATTCTGGCAAGGAGATGCAATCAGAAATGGTGCATGCAGTTGTCAGAAAACTGTCTTTCAAGGAAAGAGCCCGGTCCTTTCTTCCCCGTTCAGTCCAGCACTGCAGCGCTGATGCAATTACTGAGGCTCAAGAAGCCGTCTTGGGCCACAAGATTCATGCCAAGGGTGACAGAACTGAAGGGAGCCTGGGCTTTTGTGACCATGAGCAGCTGTTCATCCTGGACTCCCAGCTGAAGACTCCTGTCTTGTTTAAATTGTTCTTCCTGGTCACAAAGCATGGACGAATGTCGAAAGAAAATGCACCCCTTCTTTTTCACCCACTCCCCACCCTGTATCTCAGGGCTGGAGTTCAAACCTAGTGTTTCATGCACATTAGCTTCCGCCTCCGAGTTATAGCTCCCTCCCTCCTTCTCTCCTTCCCTCCCTCCCTCCCTCCCTCCCTCCCTCCCTTCCTTCCTTCCTTCCTTCCTTCCTTCCTTCCTTCCTTCCTTCCTTTCTCCCTTCCTTCCTCCCTCCCTCCCTTCCTTCCTTCCTCCCTCCCTCCCTCCCTTCCTTTCTTCCTTCCTTCCTTTCTTCCTTCCTCTCCCTCTTTTTTCCTTGGTCCTGGTAGTTATATAACTTGAGTACTTTTATAGCCTTTTAAAAATTTGACTGTTATGCTCAATTTGAATTTATTTTCTCTTCAACACGCCACATGTGTTCCAATCTTGTAATCCCTGTTCAGTATCTCACTGGCCACAGTTCTCCAGATAGATCCATTCATGCTGGACCATGGTGACAATGGGAAGAAAGAGAGTTTCTGTTGCTGGAGGGATGACTCATGGGCTCCGGGTAACAGGAAACTTAAGAATGAGAGAGTACGGATGGAGGGAGAGTGATGTAGGCACAGGGTAGGTGTAGGGAAGTCAGCTGAGAGACAGCTGGAGGAAGCGAGGTGTCAGCAAGAGTGTGAGTGACTGAAACTCAGATCTGATTTCAAAGGTGGGGCCGTTCTAGGAAGTGGCCAAGGAGGAGGACACACAGCCACTGGTGTGTTGTTCCAAGGCTCATATGTGACCTTTGACCATGCCTCCAGCTCTGTGTACCTGCTCTGGTTTCACCTGTTGGGCAGAGCAAACACACATACACGCGCTCACGCACGCACGCACGCACTTAGGCATGCCTCAGGAGATGAGGTCAGGAGATGAGGGCCAGAGTCCATTGGGACCTGGCACAGATGGATGGCAGGATTCCTGCCTGCTGACTGTCCCAGTTTATCTGCGGAATGTTTATCATGTTCAGGGTAGGCACATGCCCCCAGCTATGGATGGTCTGGGGCCCTCCCCACACTTCTGTTTATGGTTGGGCTGTCAGCCCCTGTTCATACAGTGCTGGCTGAGATCTCCCACGCTGGCACTCCTAACAGGATGGAGTCTGCAGGTACTATGAGGCTGGTCCATCTGGGCCCCTGTGGGAGCCTGTCAAGCTTACCTGTGCCACCTGTCACCAAATAGCACTGAGCAGGAAACGGGTGGAGAACGGGAGGAGTGGAGTCTGTGAAGTAGTGTGAGCCCCTCTCTTGCCAAATCTTGCTTTGGCCATCAATGCAGGCAGGAGAGGGGCAGCAAAGGCTGGGCGGGCAACCGGAGTGGCAGTGATGAGGAGTGTTCTGACCAGAGATTCCATAGCTCTGCTCTTGTCCTCTCCCAGCCTTCGGTGTTTGATACAGGATCTCATGCAAGGAGTTGGGCTACAGGCAGCCTGAAGGGGACCTTCTCTTACAGGCAGTCTGAAGGGGACCTTCTCTTGCTTCAAAGACGCTTGTTTCTGGGGCAAGGCAGGGCAGGGAAGCGCAGGGCAGGGCAGGAGGCCGGATGCTAGATATTGGTCTTTTAAAGGTGTGAGTTCTCAGAGTGGGAAGATGAGGAAGCCAGAGAAGCTTGAATACTTCCAGCCACCCAGAAGATTCCCCCGGCGAAGGCGCAGGGATACACGGTCCCCAGGGTCCAGGGGAAGCAGCACAGAGCTTGTGGCTGCCTCTCGGGTCACGTCAGGGTCGTTGGCAAAGGCTGAGATGACTGGCCATGTATTTAGCATCAGGCTCACCTGGGGAGGGGCACTCAGTTAGCATCTCTTTCCTACCCCATAGCTCAGGACCCTCATCTTCCCAAGGGTTTCCTTTTGGGCACCCGAGGCTTAGTGGGCTCTGTTTTGAGGGCTGAAGGCTGCACACCTGCCACACCCTGCTATCCAGGACCTTTCCTCCCCTGCTCATGGCCGCCAGGATACAGGTCAGTAGAAGAGCTTCCCAGGGATTGCTGCCTTCTACTTATGTCCCCCCCCCCCGTCCCCGGAGATGGGGCTGGCACTCGTCACCTGGACAGTTTGGCGGTTGTACACCTTTACGACATGGAATCGGAAGCTGTAGACTCCACGGACAGGGGCCACGAAGCAGCCCGAGGTCCGATCAAAGCCACCACCCTCGTTCACCAGCACCTGAGGGAAACAGATCCTGTCGAGTGGGGATTCAGGGTGCCTGGGGCTCAGGAACATCACTGGGGTTGGCATTTGGCCAATGGGTAAAGAGAAAGGGGGTGGCAAACAGGCGTGACAGGAATTTGTGGATCCAAAAATTATGAGAAATGGCTAAGATAGGCTATGTATGAGAGAGAAGGCGAAGAGTTGGTGGTCACCTAGGTGAACATGTGGCAAGAGATGCAGGACATGGTGTTCTTGAAGCTTGAAGGATGCCAAGTGGGCTTGGGCAGTAGCGTCCAGGTCCATGCAGGCCCTCTGGAAAGGGGCAGGGGCATTACCTGGTCGAAGTAGATGGCACCAATGGTGCCATTGCCGCTTTCCCCTGCTGGTTCATGGTGGTGGCTGCGGACTGCAGCAAATGCCACTCGTCCTGGGGGTGCCTCTCCCAGGGCTGCTCCCCCAGGCCCCCCTGCAGCAGGTCGGCCTGGCTCACAGACTACCAGGCACTCCCCCTCCAACAGGACAGGCTCTGACCCTTCTTGAGCCCACCCAGCCCCTAGAGTCAGAAGCACTAGGGCCAAGGGTAGCTTGGGGTTGCCCCGTTTTGTTCCCATCATCCCTGGTGCCTCTGTCTTCTGCTTCCCTTGCTCTCCTCCTCCGCTTCAAGCCTTTGGTACCTCTGCCCTGCTCCTCTCCGCCTTATGGGTCTGCCACCTGGTTTGGGCACCTCCCTCCCTATATCTGTTGTGTCCCATGGCTCTGCCTGGCCTCTCCTTACTCCTGCTGTCACTGCAGCTCCCTCCTCCTTGGCAAAGCATAGAGTGACAGCAGTTGGGCTCCGGGAGGGAGAAGAGGGATAGAGACAGGTCACCAAGCTCCAGCCAGATTCTGTAGCCGGGAGTCTGGACTGTGGGTGATGGAGAACAACCCCTGTGCGTGCGTGTGTGTGAGTGTGTGTGAGTGTGAGTGTGACTGCGTGTGTATGTGTGAGTGTGTGAGTGTGTGAGTGTGAGTGTGCGCGCGTGTGTGAGTGCGTGTGAATGTGTGAGTGTGTGTGTGAGTGTGAGTGAGTGTGAGTGTGTGGGCGTGTGTGTGAGTGTGTGAGTATGTGTGTGAGTGCGTGTGTGAGCGTGTGTATGTGTGAGTGAGTGTGTGTGAGTGTGAGTGAGTGTGTGAGTGTGTGAGTGTGTGTGTTGATGAAGTTTCTTCAACTCCTTCCTCATTGTCTCCTTTCCAGAATTCTTCACAAGCCGTCTCTCTCTATGGAATCTTTCTTTTTGTTGGAAGGTTATGTCCTCATCCCCCCCCCCAATCTACTGTTTGAAAGTCTTGTGCCAAGGCAGTATTCTTTTGTGACTCTGGACTTTCCCTCTTGGAACCTTCAACTGTGCAGAAAACGCAAGGGTCCCAAGAATGGGAGGCGAGCGTGAGAGTTGGCGGGAGGCGCTGGGGCGGGTGGGGGGAGTGCTGGCAAACCGCTAGGCCGGGCCAGGGACGTGGAGGGCGGGTTGGTGGGCCGCAAGGCAGCAGGCAGAGCCCTGGAGGGAGGGCGCGACCAGAGGCACACAGCCCAGCCCCGAGCCCCAGCCAGCCAGCCCTGGCGGGGGAGGAGCCGGCCTGACTCCGCCCCAGGCCGGGAAGTGACTCCAAAACCACTACGCGATGTTGACGAGAGTAGTCTAGGTTGGGTGACGAAGCCGAGGAGGCCTTGCCAGACTCGGGTGCCCAGCCCCGGACCCCTGGGGCGTGGGAGAAGCGCGGGGCCCCTGGGCCCCTAGAGCAGCAGGCGGGACTCGCGGCTTTGGCGGTAGGCGCGCCCCTTCTCGGCGCTTGGGAGCCGGAGGCGGCGGCCACGGTGATCGATCGGGCTGGGGGCGGCCACCGCGGTCGTCTGGGAGGGCCCCGGGGGGCCCGGGTGGGACGCTTGGCGGTGGACGTCTCCGGGAGGGTAGGCGGGGAGGGGGGAGTGGCTAGAGAAAGCCTGGCCGACAGACGAGGGCACCCCTCCCCGGACCACACAGTTAGTCCCCGGCGAGGTTCATCTCCGAAGAGGCCCTCTTCTGCTCAGAAATCTCAGAGACCTCTGAGCTTTGGGACCCTTTCCTCGCCCACCCCCCCCCCTTACGACCCTCAGAATGAGCCGCAGGTCCCTTCACCTTCCCCTCTCGGGCGGTGGTCATCTGTCCCCAGGCCAGCCGCCCATCCCAGATAGCCTTGTTTACCAAGGATTTCCTTTCCCGGAGAGGCCTGTGTGCCCATAGTTTTCTGTCCTCTCTACCCGCCAGGTGGACACACTACCTTCTGGGGTTATTTACCGGTGCTGTAACTAGGTGCGACCGACCTGTTGACTGTTGAGTGTAGGCGGTGTGACTAGGATTTGGCCTGAAGGGAGACAAAGTCTCTGAGCTCTTGCCACTGCCCTTCCAGGACCCCAGGAAGAAGCCATGTGTACTCGGGGGTTCGCTTCCCCCCACTCCTGACCGCTTTGCGGTGTCTGCAGTCGCAGAGGACAAGGTTCGGGAGCAACAGGCTCGCTTGGAACGCATCTTCAGCGTGGGAATGAGCGTCCTCTCCAAAGACTGCCCAGAGAACCCTCATATCTGGCTGCAGCTTGAGGGCCCCAAGGAGAATGTCTGCAGAGCCAAGGTTAACTCCTGTCCCGGATCCTTGCAGGACCCTGCCCTCCCCTAGGCAGACTCGGAGGAGGGGTTGGAGAGGATCCTTGCCTTTTTGCTGTCTTCCTGCCTACCTCTGTTCTGAGCTTTGAGGAACTCAGCAATTCTTGTTTAGAATTTTGGTTTCACTTCTGCCCTGATGGCCCAGGTACTGTAGGCACTTGAAACGTTACTTTGTGCTCTTGGGTATAGTGCAGGTGGTCCTTACCGGAGTGGGTGGAGGCTGGCCACACTTCTTTCTTTGGCCTCGAGGAGGAGTTCTAATCCAGCCTCAACACTTGACAGTCTTCTGTCTATGCTTCAATTTCCTTGTGTCTACAATCGGAGTAATAGTAGTTATCCACTTGGATGACGCAAGCACTTGGAGCTTAGGGAGAACAATATACCTGCAGGGGATGGCTTCTAGAAGTTTCCTCTCTGACCTTCCCATCTAGGAATACCTGAAGGGGCTCTGCAGCCCCGAACTGCAGAGTGAAGTTCGTTACCCACCCAGACTGCACTGCGTCTTTCAGGGAGCCCAAGGCTTCTTCCTTGACTGTCTGGCCTGGAGCACGTCTGCCCACCTGGAGCCCCTGGCTCCGGGCTCTCTGATGGTCAGTGGCCTGACCGAGGCCTTTGTGATGGCTCAGAGCCGGGTGGAGGAGTTAGTGCAGCGACTGAGCTGGGATCTTCAGCTGCCGCCTTGTTCTGGAGCCTCTGCCGGCGCTGGAGTGCTGAGTGACTTCTCTGCCCTGCTGCACTCTAAGGAGGACGCCTACACAGAGGCCCTGCTGCAGCTGCCCCTGGCTGTCCAGGAGGAGCTCCTCAGTCTGGTGCAGGAGGCATTCAGAGAGCAGGGTCCGCAGGCGCTGCCCCCTCGTGAGCGTGAGCGGGGGAGCCCAGGCCTGTTGAGTGCTCAGTTCCAGCAAGTTAGGGCTCCCTTGAATGAAGGTGGGGAGTCCCTGGGCTCTGGAGTGGCGGGGTTGGGAGAGTCAAGGGCAGCACCAGGAGGAAGTCGTACTGTGGAGAAGGGGGGAAGGAAACAGGATGCTGTCAGGGACACTTATTCAGGGCAGAAGGAGACACCTGGGGAAGAGGTCGGGGAGAGAGGAGTGGCTTTCAAGTCACGACCAGCAGGTACAGGAGCAGAGGAGGTAGCGCCCTTGAAGGGAAAGGCCTTGGGGAAGGAGGAGGTTCCTCAGCAGAGAGGGGGGTTCGGTGTGCAGGGTGAGCCTTCTGGTGCCCCTGTGCCCACTCAGAGGGCAGCTCAGATTCGGGGAGCCTCTCTCCTCCAGCGACTCCATAACGGGAACACCTCACCTCCAAGAGTTCCTAGCCCTCCATCTGCACCTGAACCCCCTTGGCCCTGTGGAGACCGAGATCGGGGAGACAAGCAACAGGCTGGGGCTCGAGGTCGAGGGTCTCCATGGAAACGAGGCACTCGAGGGGGCAACTTGGTGACTGGCACACAGCGTTTCCAGGAAGCCTTGCAGGATCCTTTCACCCTGTGCCTTGCCAATGTGCCTGGCCAGCCAGATCTCCGTCATATTGTCATAGATGGCAGCAATGTGGCCATGGTGTAAGTAGCTGATGGGGCTGAGCTGTGAGGAGGGAGGGTGTGGCCCGCATCTCTGTCTGTCTTGGAGGCGTGTGCTGAGGGCTGGTAGCGCCTCCTCCTGGGGTCCTGAGTGTCTCCCGTTCTGACGCAGGCATGGCCTTCAGCACCACTTCTCAAGCCGGGGCATTGCTCTTGCCGTGCAGTACTTCTGGGATCGTGGGCACCGTGACATAACCGTCTTTGTGCCTCAGTGGCGCTTCAGTAAGGATTCCAAGGTCAGAGGTAAGTGGGGGCTGGCCGTCTTTGTCCTGGGTGGGGCTGTGTCTACCTTGAGGAGAGACCTGCTGCATCTTGTTCTGTAGAGAGTCACTTCCTGCAGAAGCTATACTCCCTGAGTCTGCTTTCCCTGACGCCCTCTCGAGTCATGGATGGCAAGAGGATTTCTTCCTACGATGACAGGTATTTGCCCTCTCCTGGCCCCGAGTTTTATTTACGAGCCCAGTGGGACTTTGGGGAGGAGAGACGTTCCTGTCCTCTGTCTTCCAGCTCCAGTAGTGGAGTTAGTTTCCGTGGGATGTAAATCAGCTCTGCAGGTGACAGGAGATGGACTTTGCACAACTAACTATGCCTGCCTGCTCATCATTCGCCTTGTCATTATATAAAGCGCTCTACGGTCTAGAAAATACCGTGTAAGGGACTGGGAGAGCTCCTAACATGGCAGGATTGCCAATGTGGAGAAATTCTTTGAATACTCTGGGAAACGGAGAGTAAACCTTCAAAATAAATAAGATGCAGAAACAGCCTGGAACAGAGTGGCAGAATTCGAGCTGCAGGGCTCATTATTGGTCTGCTTCCTCCATGGCCTGGGCCCACCTCTTAGTGAATCACCTCTTTGTCTCAGGGTGCTTCTCCATTCACTCACCCTCCTTGTGGCTATCAAAGGAAGATAAGGTATGTGCTTGCCTCGTTCCTGGTGCTAAGCAACAGGCTAGTGACATTCCCTCTTAACATTGCATGGGCCCAATTAGGTGTTGCATGAAGCTGGGTGAGGTAGTCACACTGTAGTCCCAGCACTTGAGAGACTGAGGTAGGATAATCCCCCTTGAATTTGAGGCCAGCATGAGCTACAAAGTATGTTCCTGGCTAGCCTGGACTATAAAGTCAGACCCTGTCTCAGTAAACTAAAAAGAAAGGGGGGGGGGTGACGTACGGGATATTATCTCTGTTTACAGACGTAGACACAAAGGGTAAGTGGTTAATTCCCTTGACAGAAGTTCCCTTGACAAAAGTTACCATGTAGGCTAAGCAGAAAACAGGGTATACTCTTGCTACACTTGTGCAACATGGTGTAGAAATATATACATTTTAAAGCTAAGTAGCTATTTTAAATCTTCTTACTTTTTGTGCCCACAGAGTCCAGAAAAGTCTAAAAAGGAACTTTAAGGAGGGTTTATTTTAGCTCCCAGCCCAGGCTACAGCCCTTTATAGCTGGGAAGTCAGAGCAGCTGGTCACGTCCATCCATGATCAGGAGGAGAGCAGCGAGTGCATACAGATTAGTGCTCAGCTTGCATCCTCTCTCATGATCCAGAACCCCTGCCTGGGGAATGGTGCCGCTCACAGCGGTCGGCTCTTACAGACCACCCGATCTAGACAGTTCCTCACTGTGAACTCTTCTCAGGCGATTAAAAACTAACCAGCATAGTGATGATGTGATTTATCTTTTCAGATATGTAACTTTTACTCCTTAGAAGTAAGAAGCATTTTACAAAAGGTACTTCACTTCCTTGTCTTAGGTTTCTTGTTGCTGTGATAAATACCATGGTCCAACAAAACTTGGGAGGAGAGGGTTTATTTTATCTTAACTTGCAGGTAATAGTCCGTCTCTGATTGGGAGTCAGGACAGAACCTGGAGGCAGGAATTGGTGCAGAGACCACAGAGGGATGCTTGTGGGCTACTTATAGCCTGCTCAGCTCGATTTCTAGCACCACCCAGGGCCACTTGCCTAGAGGTGGCCCCGCCCCCAGTGGGCTGACCTCCCTCTGTCAATTAGCAATCAAGAAAATGTCCCGCACACTTGCCCACAGGCAATCTGATGGACACATTTTCTCAATTGAGGACCCCCTCCCAGGTAACTCATGGCAAGCTGATAAAAAGCCAGTCGGGATGCTCCTGATGCCGGTTTCTTTTTTGGACAGGGTCTTACTTTGCAGCCTGGGCTGGACTGACTTCTGTAGACCAGGTTGGCTTTGAGCCTGTGGTGACCCTCTTGCCTCTGCCTCCCAAGTGCTGTTATTTTGTTTTAAGGACTAGATTTTAGTTTATTCTAAGACAGTAACTTTTAGTCCACATCAGCACCATAACAGAATTGATCCTGAGAATTGGGTCAGTTTTAATGCTTCGTGGATCCATGTGCAGACTTGGACTTTCTCTTCATTGTGGTATAAAGCAGCAGAGCAGAGCTCAGCAGAGCCTACCGAATGAGAGCTGCGGGGCGTATCCCAACCCGAGAGCCACAAAGGCCGTGACTAGAAAGCACCTTTTGTGCACTAGAGGTAGCATAGCACCCCTGAGCTTGCTCCCACACAGCTGCTGTACCTCATCCCGACTCGTGGTCGTCTCTGTACCTCCGCGCCTTTCAGATACCGACAGCCCACTTCAGGCGAGGTGCATGACTTGAAGAGAGAACTCTGGGGCAAGGGTTGGTCCTTGGCTTCCAGAGGCCCAGAGTGCAGTGAACAACAGTAAGACCCGTGAGTCAGGCACGACAGGAGCTCAGGGGAGCGAGCCTTGTTGTGACTGGGGTTTTGCAGGAAGGAAGGGGTTGGGAGTTTTGGTCGAGATGGATGTGGGATGGGCTGGATCTCTTCGATTTTAAACCTCTCAAAAGTTAGTTCACCGTCTTACTCTGTGGATGGAGAATCATTAAGATGGGACCTGGCCATGGTGGCGGATGCCTTTAATGCCAGTACTTGGGAGGTCGAACAGAGGCGGGAAGTTTGAGGTTAGCTTCAGGTATTCAGTAAGTTGGAGGCAGGCCTGGGCTATATGAGCTCATGTCCCAAAAATAAAACAAGGAAATTACTGAAGTGGGGCCTCAGGAATATTTTAAAAACTTTATAGTTTTGGGATAGAGAGACGGCTCAGCAATTAAGAGCACTGGCTGCTCTCGCAGAGGTCCCTAGTTCAGTTCCCAGCACCCACATGGCAGCTCACAATCTGATGCTCTCTTCTGGTCTGCAGATCTACATGCAAACAAAGCACCCATATGCATAAAAACAAATCTAAAACAAAACAAAAACCCCAAACCTTAATATTTGTACTTTTCTGGTTTTTGAGGTACGGTCTCATGTAGTCAGGCTGGTCTCGGGCTCCCTGAGGAACCAAGGGTGACCTTGAACCTGGATTCTCCTGGCCCCACCTCCTGAATGCTAGATTACTTGTGTGTGTCACCACGCCCAGTCTTTATTGTGCTGGAAATTGAACCTAGGGCCTGGTGCAGCTAGGTGAGCACTCTACCAACCGAGCTAGACTGCCAGCCAGCTCCTGGAAACTAAGTTCCTTAGGTGACTGTCATTGAGGAGGCTTAGGATACACTCTGAGATGGAGGGAGTAGGAAGAAACTGAAGTCAGAGTGGGGGACTGGTTAAGAGTGTAGTCTGGTCATTGATCTTGGCTGGAGTTGAGGCTCCATTAGGGAGTACTGAAGAGAAAAGGCTGCAGGAGTGGCGTCAGGTGGCTTCTAGAGGCCCTGAGCCGCCAGCTTGGACATGTGGACTTATTCAAGGCTCTCACATGGGCTGGGTTGGGGTGAAGAGCTCTGTGTGAGGGAGAGCAGGTGAGGATGGTGAGGTGAGGATGGTGAGGTGAGGTGAGGATGGTGAGGTGAGGATGGTGAGGTGAGGTGAGGATGGTGAGGTGAGGTGAGGATGGTGAGGTGAGGTGAGGATGGTGAGGTGAGGATGGTGAGGTGAGGTGAGGATGGTGAGGTGAGGATGGTGAGGTGAGGTGAGGATGTGAGGTGAGGTGAGGATGGTGAGGTGAGGATGGTGAGGTGAGGATGGTGAGGTTTGTAAGTGACTCGTGGGCTGGAGAGAGTTATAGCTCGCTCTTGCTGTGTTTTAGACGCAGTGTTCAGTAAGGGTTGTGAATGAGATGCTGTTGGGAGACTACCTGGGATTCATCACTGTTTCTGCTCTAACCTTGGTGTCTGTGTCTAGTTAGTCACCTGTGGCTGGGTGATAGTGAGGGGAGGAGCGGAATATGGAGGTACAGGCTGTAATCCCAACGACTTGAGAGGCTGAGGCAGGAAGATGGAGAGTTCAAAGCCTGCTGGGGCTAGAGTGAATTCAAGGCTAGACTGAGTAACTTAGCAAGATCGTATCTCTGATTTGTTGGTTTGTTTTTGAGACAGGGTCTCTCTGTGTAGCCCTGGCTGTCCTGGAACTCTGTAGAGCAGGCTGGCTTAGAACTCCAGAGATCACCAGTCTCTGCCTCCTGAGTGCTGGGATTAAAGGTGTGGCCTCCAGGCCCTGCCTGTCTCTTACCCACTCTCTTGGTCCGTCTGTCTACTTCCTTACCTACAATTTCAGTGGTGAAGCACTTGCCTAGGATGCACGCCAGCCTGGACTCAGTTCCCAGAAGCTGCCCTCACCCTTCTTCACTTCAGACTGACCTCCATCACCAGAACTGGGTCTCAGGCATCGATAGCACCCTGTGGGGTTGGTCCTTGGAGAATCCCAGCATGGTGTCTGTGCTTTCTTGAGACAGGTTCATGGTGAAGCTGGCTGAAGAGACGGATGGGATCATAGTCTCCAATGACCAGTTCCGGGATCTGGCGGAGGAGTCTGACACGTGGATGGCGATCGTCAGAGAGCGGTGAGGATAGGGCACGGCTCAGACCTTTCTCTAAAACCAGCTCTTCTCTGACCACTGGGTGAGAACCCTGGGGAAGGCCGTGGAGGTGCCGCAGGATGACAGCCAGGAGCTCTGGGTGGGGCTGGTCTCGGCCAGGTCGGTGAGGTCATCTCCGTGACATCCTCTTTCCTCTTCCAGCCTGCTGCCCTTCACCTTTGTGGGAAACCTCTTTATGGTCCCAGATGACCCACTGGGGCGAAATGGCCCCACCCTGGATGAGTTCCTGAAGAAGACAGTCAGGTAGTGCCCCTTCTCTGCCCGCAGCCTGTTGAGATCTGCTACTCTGAAGGACTGGAGTTTGGATGGGAGTGTCACAGTTTGGGCCAGCTTAGTTCTGCAGTAGGCTTGAGTTTTCGGGACTGGTTTTTAAAGTTCTCCCAAGGAATCCTGACACAGAGATACTTTTATTTCTTTACTCTTCTGGTCAGTGTGTTTGATGGAGCTGTTTGGGAGATGGTTGCACGTAATAACAGTCAGTTGTACCTCACACCCTCTGGTGGCTGCTAAGCAAGTGATTAAACAGGGCTACATCTCATTAGGGTGTCATCCTAGTGGGTTGATATTGCCTCCCAGTGGCCAGCTTAGGGAATTCATGCATTCATTTCCTAAAGCTGGAAATTGGTCTGCTTGGCCGAGGCTCCCTGGGGCCCAGTTTTTCTCAGGAGTGCTTATCAGTTCTTACTCTGCTTTTCTCCAGGAAACAGGGCTCTGCTAAGACTCAGCAGCCCTCCAGAGGCCCCACAGACCACGGTAATCAGCAGCAGGGGAAGCAGGGGAAGGAAGAGGAGAGAGGCAGTAGTGGCATTCGGAAGACCCGGGAGACAGAGCGGCTCCGGCGCCAGCTGCTGGAGGTGTTTTGGGGTCAGGACCACAAGGTGGACTTCATCCTGCAGCGGGAACCATACTGCCGGGATATTAACCAGCTTTCTGAGGCCCTGCTGAGTCTCAACTTTTGAGTCTTACTTGCCTGCATAGCTGTTGCCTATCTGACTCAGCGCCCCCAGCTCAGCTGCTTCTGTACAGTCCTCTGCTGTCAGACTGCGTGGACTCCCTCTAAGACGGTGCTTTGGCTGGAGGAAGCACCAGAGATCTGCGTGTGGGAATACTCTTGCCTGGGGTACTTGAGGACAGGTTCATAAAGTGACGCCACCCGAGTCAGGACCACAGTCAGCTCTTAGGAGGCTTTGATCAGATTTAACTCCTCAACCTTGCCGTTGCAGAGGGTTTCTGTAGAGACTCTTCCTGAAGACCGCGACCGTTGGCCTCATCCCCAAGTTAAAATAAGTTGGAGGCTACGGTAAGGCTAGGGCGAGGAAGAAAGCACCTCAGGCTGCTCTTCTGAGTGGCTGTTCAGGCTGAGCTGTCTGGGTTCTGGAGGGGCTGTAGTGCTGTGTGGGCTGTTGGATGGACAGCAGAGTCAGACCCACAAGGCAGAGGGGGTTGGGCTTCCATCTCGGTTGTGCTCTGCCTGTGACCTTGACAGATGCTTATGTCTATACACCTGACATAGAAATACCCTTTGAGAGCAGGAATGAGAACATGGGAAGCTCCTGTGAGGAAGTGATCTTGGATCGTGTCTCAGAGATGTCCAGTCCGTACCCTCAGTTTTAACACTGGGTTTCCAACAGAACATGCCCTGTAACGGCTGCATCCTTTCCAGCAACCTTCAAAACAAAACAGTTGTTAGGCTTGATTGTTGCATTAATCTCAGGGTTCCTAGAAGTGACAGCTGGTCAGTTGCATTCAATTGTTTGTTTACAGATTCACAAAGTGCCAGAAAGGCCCTGGTTAAATCCTCCCTCTGGTGTTGAACGTATTCACCAGATTCATGAAGCCGTGCTTTGCATTGACAATGTTACTGGCATCTATCTAAGACTCCCTCTATGAAGGACGTAGGTTGCATTCGGCAAGACACACTACTGTTTGTGTGCATGGTGGAGAAACTATCATCTAGGAAGTGGAAGGTGAAGAATCAGAGTTGAGAGACACCTGATTGGTCACAGATGAACTCCACGGACCTATCATGACCAACTGTTTACATCCTAACTCCCACAAGTCATTGTTTTGTATCTGCTTGATTCTTGGCCAGGGGATTTACTCTCTGCAAGGTGGCACATTCCAGACCTGGATGTATAGTTTTTCCAGGAGTTTTTTCTGTAGTGTAGCCTAACAAGCTTCTGTTACTATTACTTTTTCCAGGAATAACTGAGAGCTAGTCAGCTTCTCAGATAAAGAGGTAAGGCAGGTGTCCCCGGGTTCAATTCTGATTGAGACCTGTATCGAGTTCCTGAATTAGGTTTTTGGATGACTTACTCCAAGTGACAGAGAGGTGACTGTGTGTGGAACTCAGTGATCAGGGAGAGGGTCCCTAGGTCCCAGTGTCTGCCTGTTTCATTGGCCATTTTCATCTCTACACTCAGGCTTGGGCAGCTGTATTGGAGACAAGTTGATTAGGAAATGACAGTGACTCTTCTCAGTGTCCAGGAAGCAATGAGAATGGTCTGAACCGGTTGCTGGTAGACATGCTTTTCAAGTTTGTGATTGGTTTCTTCCTCTGTTTGCTTGTGATGGTGGTGTACAGAAAGCCAGAATTGGCTTCCTTTTATGCTGCGGGCCCTAGAAGGCCAAAGTGTTCCCAAGCAGATGAGAGACAGGTCCTCGGTTTATAGAGGGGCATTGGCTTTGTGTTACTGCAGTATGAGGTGGGACCTGTATGTGTTTGCTGTAAGTTCACCGCCATTGGGTGAGACCCTGAGGCTAACCAGGGCCCTTTTTCCATTTTTGCTGGTATCCTCTGAACAGGTGGTTACGGTGGCACCAGAACTCACTGGACATGACCCTCAAATGTATTTATTGCCTTTAACCTCTGTCACAAGCTCATGTGGGGAGAGAGACTGAATATTACAACGTTTAGAACCTCATTTAGGAAGGAGAGCCAGCTAGGTAATAGCCCCTAAGATAAACTCCAGAAGAATCTAAGCCAAAGAAACAGCTGAAGCCAGTGATAGAATTTATTGCCATAACTGTAGTGTTCTCTACACAGCATATAGGAAAACTGGGTAACTGAACACAGAGCGCACAGGAAGCTCAAGAGGTTAAGGTTGGAGTGCGCTGGCAACTGTGACGAGTTTCTCACACAGAGGTGGGACACACAGGGAGGAAGTGAGGGGGAGAGAGTCTAAGATGGCCTGATGTCAGAACAGGGCTTTCCTGAGCCAGTGCCCCGCATGAGGAACAGGCCTGCCTTGGGGCTTCTCTACTTAGGCTACAACATCTTTCAAGGCAGCCCCCAACTCTGGGAAGGAATACTGGTAGCCAGTGGCCAGTGTCCGCCGTGGGACCACTTTCTGGCCTTCCAACAGCATGGTGGCACGCTCTCGTCCAAAGACTGCTTGTACCACAGTGCTGGGGACAGGTATGAAGGCTGGGCGGCCCAGGGCAGCACCCAAGGCCTGGGCAAACTCGGCATTGGTCGTGGTAGATGCTGGGGCCACTCCGTTCAGGACTCCTTGGACGTGGTTTGCTTCAATGGCATGAGTCAGAATTCCTGCCAGGTCACCAATGTGTATCCAGGGGAAGAATTGGTGACCTGAACCAATGGGGCCTCCTAGGCCCAGGCGGAAGGGCAGAAGCATGTGGCCGATGGCACCACCCCCACGGCCCAGCACAACCCCTAGAGTAGGCAAGAGGGGGGGTTCAGGAAGGTTGCTTAGCCTTGGAAACCTGTACTACTCCCTTCTCGTCCCCTTCCTTGCCTCCTTCCCATGTGGACTGGGAGTGAGTGGATCTTGGGACTTTCCCTCATAGGTTAGCTAGACAAATGGACTCCTCTCACTGTAAGCTCAGCCCTCCTCGGCCCAGAAAGCTTCCACTTTGCCTGGATCCCAGGCCCTTGGTCCTCACCTGAACGTACCACCACCTGGCGTGTAGACTCTCCAGGAAGCCTGGCTGCTGCTTCCCATTTGGTTACCAGGTTGGAGAAAAAGTCAAAGTCCCCTCCTGGGCTGTCTTCGTCATACTCCTCAGTCGGGCTTGGCTGGTAGTAAGCTGCCAAGGGAGGGCACTCATTTGCTCAGCTGGCCCTGTCCTGCTGGACCCTTTGCAGCTAAAGGCTCCCTAGCCCTATTCTTTGACCCTTGGGTCTCCACAGGAGAAGGAAGATCCATGACTGTTTCCCTTGAGCTTCGCCATGTGTTCCTGCCTGGAAGTCTAGCCTTGGCTGCCAGGCTGTACCCAGAGGCTGCTAGCTTGTAGAGGTTAGGGACAGAAACCTGGGGGCCAGGCTGCTTGAGCCGCACCATCCCTGATATCTGTGACTTTCTGGCAAGTTACTTCTCTGTATGAACAGTTTGCATATGGGAGTAACTGTACCTACCTCATAGGGTTGTTGCAAGGATTAAATAATACAATGTATAAAGTACTTAGTATTGTGGCTTCTGTTTACATTTTGTTTGCAACTATTCAGTCTTAAGGGTGACATAGCAGTAGGGGACTGTCCATAAAGAACCGTGGTCTTAAAAGCAAGGGGCTGGGGAGCAGGTGGATAAGTCAGCATTAGGACTGGGGAGTACGTGGATAACTCGGCATTAGGACTGGGGAGTAGGTGGATAACTCGGCATTAATGGACTCGGGAGCAGGTGGATAACTCGGTATTAATGGACTCGGCCATTTCTCTTTCTCTGAGGCTCCCAATAAGGGTTGCTAGCTTTGAGTCGCTAGCCAAGTACACTCCCACTGCGTTCACACCCATAAATACCAATAGTGAAAACAGGCCATTAGAAACCTGTGCGGCGGGAGGACCCAGCCGCTACACCGGAAGGGCCGTGCTCTAGGGTGCTGCAGGGGGTCACTAGCCCCCAAGGCCTGCGCTGAGTTCTCTGTTCTTGTTAATGCAAGGGGTTGATGACTGGGGCATACCTACACCTGTGACTAGTATCCAAGCCTGCGGCGGGTGTTCGGCTTTGGTGATGGCTTTAGCTAGCAAGTGGGTGGTATCCAGACGGCTGGTAAGCACCTCTTTTTGGAAGGCTTCGTTCCATCTGCAGTGATGAAAAGGTCAGAAGTACAGACACGCATCTGACCCACATCCTCACTACTCATCCAGCCTGTTCTCCCTATCCTAAGTCTGTCTTAATGCATAACCCAGGGTCGCTAAGAAAGATAGGACTTTACCCGCTCCGTGATAGGCATGGGCTATGTCTCTTTAGCCACAACAGTGGGCTTTCTTAGACGCCGGTATAGAACAGGCTCCAAGGCTAAGAGATACTCGCACAGAGTATGTCTTCAATGCACGGCTCACAGGAGGTGACCCTCTCCCTCTGTGCAGGTGACACTGCTCTATGGCCCTGCTGACCTTCGCAGAGGGTTGAGGATGTTTTCTCCAGCCAGGTTGATGACAACATCGCAGAGGGGCAGCCCCGACCTATTGAGCTCACTCTGTTGGAGAGAGCACAGGAAGTACTGTCCTTCCCGCCCAAACTGCCCTCCCACCCACTTGGCAGAGGCTGGACGTACCCACGTGATTCGACCGGGTCCAGGCTGTCGGGAGACCAACGTCACTTCGTGGCCCCTGGCTTTCAGCAGCTGGGTTAGGGCTGTCCCAATGAATCCCGTCCCGCCACCTGATGGGAGGGCACAAACTGTTGCTTCTCCGGGAGGAGGCGGGCCGGAGCGCGGCGGCCCCGCCTGGTACAGCCCCCAGGGCCCTCCTCCCCGCCCCCCCGCCCCGCGGTGCAGAGGTGACGCCGGTCACAGGCTTTCAGGGGCTGGGAAACCAGGGCTCGGTTGCTTGCTTAGAAGACCGTGCCCGGTGGGGCTGGTCTCCCGCTCTCGGCCTCGCCCAAGCCCGCCCCCCCGACTCTCAGCCCTCCCTCACCCACGAGCACCCGCATGGCGACAGGGCACCAACACGCCTGCGCGAGATTTAAACACCGGACGCGGCTGCGCGCCTCGGCACCCGCGGATTTCAGGGCTAGGCGTCCCCTCCCCGCCCCCACCCCGACCCGGAAGGAGTTACAGCAAAAGCGAAGGAGAGGGGAGGACCAAGTGCGGGAAGAACCCGCTCCTAAAGGAACCCGCGCAGATCCCGGCTGCCAAGTGCCGGCTGCTTGTTCACCGTGGGATTCTTCTTACTCGTCTTCCTTTTTCCCCACCCTCCTGAGTGTCACAAAAGTTTACTTAGCAAGAAGTTTCATATGAAAATCTTCACGACCCAGTTCTACACCCCGGCCATCAGCCCCTCGGGGAGGATGTGTGAACGGCCTCGTTTAGACCCTTCCCAAGGCTGTCCCCGTGTGACCACCGCACCCATGCTATTCCGCTGCCCACTAGCTGCCATCTCCACACGCTCACCAATCACACAGGCTCACAGCCCCGCAGTTTCCCTAGGACGCGCCCGCCACCATTTAACCTCAATGGTAGCTTCGTGCGTATCAATTTCTGCAGTTCGGGAGGGTGGGCGGCGTCCATGTGCACGCTTGCTCCCGCAGCTGAGGTTCTCACCACCGTGGGTTCCGCCCTCCGCTTCCCAGTTGACTCCATTGCCTTGCTCTCCGGAGCACCTGTTGTCCGTGCTTCACCAAATCTAATGCCCCGTTTTAGATAATTTGGATTGGTCGCTCAGCCAGAATCACTGCCCGTGAGCCCTCACTTCCTTCCGGAAATGTTGCTTTTTGGACCTCAGTGGAAGCCATACTGTCTTCTGGGACTTTCAGAACCAATTTCGGCTTCTGCGGATGGCTCCACTTGCTTTAAATTCTTAAACTGTAGATAGTTGTTCCTAGCTGGATCTCAGGACCCTCTCTTCGCCTTTCCCGCTTGCCCCTTCCCCTTTCCGTCTTTGTGCGTGTGCTGCTAGAGAGTACATGTGAGGAAATCGTCCTCTGTCACCCTCCAGTGAGACAGCACTGAACCTGGAGCTCACAATCGTCTAGACTGGCTGGTCGCCCAGGCTCCTGTGTGCTGACTGAGATTAACCGTGCAGGTTACAACTGGTTCTGTATATCAGGCTTTTCTCCAAGGTGATTGGCGGTCAGAATTCAGGACCTCCTGATGCCTGGGCAGCAGTCTACACACGGGGTCTCCGTTTCCGTCCACCGTAATCATGACTGCTCACAACACACAGCCCCTGTCCATTACCATCTGTGAGGTGAATTCAGTCATTGATTCTTCATCGAGCTCTTCTTTGAGTTCCTGACCACCATAAAAACCTCTCTAGATCGCATATTTAAAAAAGAAAAGTATTTGTTTGGTAGTTTTGCCTGCATGTATGTCTCTGTACCAGAAGAAATGACGGGATTCCCGGGAACTAGAGTTCAGATGGTTGTGAACTGCCATGTGGATGCTGGCACTCCAGCCCAGGTCCTCTGGAAGAGTATCAAGTGTCCTTCACCACTGAACCATCTCTCCAGTGCTTCTAGATCTCTGGTTGCCTGAAATGCAGTTGATTTTAGGCACTGAAATCTTTCAGATCTATTTTTGTCTGCCAACTACAGCCCTCATTCCAGTTATTTTGTCTAAATTCCTGAACACTTTCCTAAAAGGTTTCCTGACTTCGAGTTTTCTTCTCCGCCTACACATTGAAAGCTGAATGGTCATTGACTAACACATGACAAGACAACTGTGTTGTGTGCAATATGTTCTAAGAACACCATTGCCAACTCATTTAGAAAACTAAAGGGAATCTCTAGAGACAAAAAGCATCCCTGGGCCCGAGCCTTTGCTAAAGATGCATTGCTTGACTAAACCTGAGTCAGGCTTTTGAGTCTTCTTTTAGTTCATCTGTGCATTTCCTTATGAAATCCCATCGCATCACATCCTCCTGCTAAATCCACTTAGCAGTAACCCCCGTTTTGATAATCTGGCTTTTCATCCTTTACCACCCTTCAGGCGGTGTCTGACCGTCTTGATTGGTGTGTATACATAAGCGCCCTTGCTCCTTACGGTTACCAAGTACCCTACCCAAGCGACTGAGGAGAGGAAGTGGTTCTTTTGGCTCACGGTTTGAGGTGCAATCCTTCAGTGCACGGAAGGTTCGGTGGCGGAGATGGAGGTGTCGGGAGGCAGCGAGAGATGAATGCTGGTGTTCAGTTCACCTTTCCTTTGTTTAGTTTGAATTCCAGTCTATGGAACAGTACGGTCACAGTCAGGTGACTCTTCCCCCTTTAGTTAAAATTCCCAGGAAGTGCCCTCACAGACACACCTACACGTGTGTCTCCTAGGTGATTTCAAATCTAGTCAGGTTGGCAGTGAAGATTAACCATCATATCTGTCTTCGGCAAAACCTGTTAGGTGGCTCAGCCAGAATTCCACATACCCTGGTACTTCCTCACAGCTATCATGTTAAATAGAAAAGGAAGTTGCAGAAGTATTCACACTATAATTCCATTTAACTATTAAAAGAAAGCAAAACCATGGCATTTTAAATAATTGGACTCGTAAAAGTAAAAATAAAAGCACGAGAACAATGCAAAACTCAGGGTAGCATCTTCTTGTGGAGGCTGGGTATGAGGGGGAAGAGTACTGTGTTAGTTTGAATGTAACTGGCCCCCATAATCTCACAGGGAGTGGCACTAGTAGGAGGTGTGGCTTTGTTGGAGTGGGTGTGGCCTTGTTGGAGCAAGTGTGTTATTGTGAGGGTGGGGTTTGAGGTTCCCCATGCTCAGAAAACTGCCAGTAAGTCAGTTGACACCCTGCTGCCTGCAAGATGTGGCATTCTCAGCTCGAGCACCACGGCTACCCGCATGTCCCCATTCTCCCCAGCATAATGATAATGGACTGAACTTCTGAAACTCTAAGCAAGTCATCTCAATTAAATGTTTTCCTCATAAGAGTTGCCATGGTCCTGGTATCTCTTCACAGCAACAGAAACCCTGTCTAAGACAGTGCCCAGGGGACTCATTTCTTAGCTCAAGTGAGGATGCAGGCTATTCATTTTATTAATCTTGGTATTGTCTGAAATATTTTATAGCAGAGCTACATGGATTCATAATTTATAGTCATATTTCAGGTGTGAGAAAGTATACCTTTGCATAACTTTTCTTTTCTTTTCTATTTTTGGAGTTGGGGAAACAAGGGCCTCATTTTGTAGCCCAGTCTGGCTTCAGATTCACAGCAATCCTCCTGCTTCAGCCTCCCGTGTTCTGGAATCCAGGCTTAACCACCATGTGAGGCTGGTAAGTTTACTTTTTGTAACTACTTAACTCATAAGCATCTCTCATGGAATGCATTTAAACTGACCAGACAGAGGAGCTGTAATCACCAATTTAGAATTCTCTTTGCTTTCCTTTCTTTTTTGGGGTGTGTATGTAAATTCTCAGTGTTATAGCGTGTACTGTCCCTCTTTGCCTCTCACAACACACGGGTGTGGCGGGTCATTTGATTAGGCATTTAGTCACCAGTGCCTTCTCAGAGGGACCTTGTTTCATTTGTTTTTAGATATTTCCTGATGAGGTCAGCTAAGGCACAGCTGGTCACGCCAGGTTTAGGGGTTCAGCTATTGAACATCCTGGCAAGTGTTCACCTTGAGTTCTATCTCCAGCATCTTGTTACTTTTTGCTTTGTTTTGAGACATGGTCTCACTAAGTTGTCTAGGCTAACCTTGCACTTGCTCTAGCCCAGGGTAGTTTCAGTAACCACCACCTCTTTAAGAAGGTGTGAGTCATCACATGGCTGGTGCTGAGGGCTGAGCTCAGGTCCTCTTCAAGAGAAGCCAGTGTTCTTAATCACCAAGCCACCGCTCCAGCCCCTAGCCTTGATCTTCTTCTTAGAGATTTATTTATTTATTTATGAGTGCCCTGTGACTTTATGCGACTCTATCCCATGACAGATGGTTGTGAGCCACCATGGGGTTGATGGGAATTGAACTCAGGACCTGGAAGAACCAGTGTTCCTAACCACTGAGCTGTCTCTCCAGCCCCTAACCTTGATTCTGATCTTCCTGTTTCAGCCTTCCAGAGAGCTGTGATCGCAACCTGTGGTAGGCACCGCCAGGTCTGTCTCCCCAGCACCCTTATTTGAAGTAGGATGTTACTGTGCATCCCAGGCTGGGATACATACAATCCTCTTGCTCCATCTTCAGGGCCTCTGTTTGGGATATCCGTAATTCCTGTTTTGTTGGTGGTGTTTGGGGTCATCCCCTTCAGGTGATGAAATACTGGCCTTCTGGCCAACAGAATGGAATATGTGGACCTTGATGGATCACTCCTTAGGCTCATCTGCTGGTTTGTCCTATAGTCACTACTATCAGGCAGTCTGCTCTGGCCTACCATTTAATTAGCTATATGTTACTGTTAGTGAATTATCTCAAAACATAGTTGTTTGAAAGGAAACACCTTTTGTTTTTCTCTCAAGGTTCTGTGGGTTAGCCATCTAGGAAAAGCTTAGTTGGGTGGTTGTGGCTCACAGCCTCCTAGGAGGTTATGGCCAATGTATCACTAGGGCCACAATCATCTGAGGACTTAAATGGGGCCAGAGGAAACTGTCTCAAGAAGTTCCCTCACACACTGTTGACAGCCTTGTTCCTGTGGGTTGTTTGTGGCCATGCTGGCCTCTTTGTAGTTCATCCTTAGTGTCCTTAGGTGTGCTGACTGACTGTCCTCCCAGGACTCAGAGGGGGAGAACAGGGAGGAAGCCTCCCTAGTTACTGACCTCGTCTCAGAAGTGGCAGATAATCACTTTCATCACAGTCTGAGGACTAGAATCAACTCACCAAGTACAAGGGGAGGCACATTTAGCCACAACCTTTGGAGGAAAGAGTCTCAGAGTTTCAAAACCACTGCAAGCTCTTTCAGGCGAAGTCCACTCTTGGAAGCCTGCGGCCCCTCAGGTGAAGTCCACTCTTAGAAGCCTGAGGCCTCTCAGGTGAAGTCCACTCTTGGAAGCCTGCGGCCCCTCAGGTGAAGTCCACTCTTGGAAGCCTGTGGCCTCTCAGGTGTGCCTAGGAATTGTGCCACCAACCTTGTTCTTTTCACACACCCCACT